AGAAAAAGAAAAGGAAAGAAAAAAGAAAAGAAAAAATAATAAAAAATTACAAAAACTATCTACATCAGCACAGACCGTGCCATGTAGGATGGCCGGCGCTAACTAGACCGCAACGTGAGTGATTTCCAGCTAAAATTATTTGAAAAGAATAAATTGGCAAATCCTTAAAAGGTTTAATATTTAAATGGTAAATCTTGAAAATGTTTAGGACTAAATTGACAAATCGTCAAAATTTATGATTAAATTGGCTAAATTGAAAGGTTTATGATTGAATTGATATAAATACAATAAATTTATGACCTTTTTGATTCCCTATAGAAGGGTGGTATAAGGACCCACCTAGGCTGATTCTAAAGATTTTAACCTATACTTAATTTAATAAAAGTAATAGCTGAACCATTCATTTCAAGAGATTTTGCCATATATGAAGCAAGACATACCACTTGCTCGAATCTTTTCAGTTTTCTTCTTTATCATCCCTTCAGTCCATAGATTATTATATTCTGATTGACATGGTGCAATGGACAACGCTCAGAATCATGATTAAAAACCAGTTCTAAAAATAAAATTAAAAGGAGAAAGCCTTGTTTAAGAATGCTGTCAACATCTTATGATTGCAGTTCAACTCTATAAATTCAGCACCTACCCTTGATTTGGAATAAAACCTGTCATGAAAATGACCCTCTTGATTTATTTTTCTCATTGTTCTCCTCTCTTGTTCATCTCCTTTGGAGAATATTCAACCGTTGTTCATGTGTGCTCGGAATCGATGGAGAGTCCGCATAAGATAATCCAGCAGAGATGTCATTATATAATGATACAGAAATTTATCAATTTAGGATGTGTTTGTTTCACTAAAAATTTAAAATTTGAAAAATATTTTTCAAAAAATTGGCTATATCGCTCACGAAAATGACTTAATGAAAAATATTAACATCATTCACGAAAATAATTAGGCATAAATTGTAATTAATAATGAAAATAGCTTCTATTGACTAATTTTTTTAAGCGATGTAATCAATCATTTTCTAAAAAATGGTTCTCAAATCTTGAGTTTTCTGTGGAACAAACATCAAGTTAACGGGTTTGCACATGCAGAAGACAAAATCTAATTGGGGTTTGTGCATATGTTGTAACCAAGGATTTAGCCAGCCTTAGGAGTTGACCTTGTATTAGATGTTTGATTATTCGAGTGAAGTTAGCAAATAGCCTGTCTAGAATGTTGAGGATGGTCGACTCCAATTAGAAGTTGACCTAATGGTGTAGAGGCCTCAAGTAGTGATGAATGAAATGAATATAACATAAAGATTCAGGACATATAGATGGGAATATATTAGGTTTTGTCCTAGAAAATTTTGATGAGAAATAGTTTATTGTAATTGTGATGGGACTTGAAAAATGTAGTCGTCTCGAGAATTTAAATAGAGAGATCATTAGAAGTTAAGTTACGATCGTGGGATCAAATTTGAATTGAATATATGAAATTATGTTTTTGCATGATTGCTTGAGCATGAACTAATAAATATGCAACTATCGGGTGAAGATACGTGGTTATAAAGTTGCCGAGTTATGTGCCCCATCACCCGAGTTCCAAAAGACTCGACACTAATTAGTAACCATAAATTGGGTTTGTAAGCCACATAATCCACGTTGGGATCATACTTCTATCGAAAATACTTGATTACTTGGGTAAGGAGTAGATATGACATGGATGAAGAATTGGACGAAACTTGGAAATGTTGATAAATCGTTTCTATTAAAGACCAACATCTATAGTTTTCATAAGTCGGGGAAATTACGTATTTGAAACTAGAAACATAGTACTCCGTCAAATCCGGGATCATCTTTGATAAAATGGCAGAGTGACCCAGATTGAGAACAACGGGAAATCGAATTGCTAATTAGGTAATCACACCACCATTTTTGTAATCACATCAAATATGTCTTAAGTCAAGGAGCTTGGAAACAACAATGTGCATGAGGATGCTCACACCGAACATGAGGTGTATTATCTTTATAGGAACAAGAAGTAGAAACTCCAATCATGAAGCTCATTCTAATTCCCACCGAATTGTCGGAACAGAGAGAGCTCACTGTGTATCACGCATGATTGTTCTTTCGGTTTGTTCCCTCCTTCCTAATCATATGCACTCCTTCACAACTCATGATTAGTCATGGGTCAAGAGCGAGACTTAGCATCATTCTTTTGTGCATCTAGTGAAGGTGGATTGGGTGGGTTTTTGACGGTGAAAAAGTGAGCATCTTAGCATGGCAAATTGATGATGAGGAAGGGTTCGTTTTGATGAGCTTTTCAACGACAACTTACCATGCCAATGCCATACACATTCTCTCTCTCTCTCTCTCTCTCTCTCTTCCCGAGTTTGTTTGCTTTCGGGATAGTTACACAAATGGTCTCTAAGTTTTAGCTCAATATGCAATGTTTTACACGAAGTATTAATTTGCTCATTGTGATATTATAATTTTAGCCTAAAGTACAATGTCATTCCTAAATTTTTTAATTGTTCAATTTGGTCTAAATGTTCAATCTAGTCCCCAGACTAGTCATGGCCACGGGCCGATTTTGGCCCGGAACCGGCCTGGGTCAAACTCGGGACCGGCCCGTTGATCGGGCCAGCGGTTTGGAACCGGAACCGGCCCGTGGCCTACGGGCCCGGTTCCGGTTCCAAAAAAAAAAAAAAAAAAAAAAAGAAAAAACCTGCTGCTGCACATCAGCCCCACCCCCACGTTCCCACCCCCAACTCCAGTCCTCCTCCTCCAAATCCCTCCTTCCCCCCTCTCCCCTGCGCCTCCTCCGGTCTTCCCATTTTCTCCTCCGCCCGCCCCTCGTCTTCCCAGATCTGACCCCCGCTGCCGTTGCCCCCGCCCATGGCCGCAGCCGCCGACGCCGATGCCCCCTCTTCCTCCCCCCTCGCTACCCTGCGCCTCCTTCCCTTTTCTCCTCCGCCCGCCCCCCGTCTCCCCAGATCTGACCCCCGCCACTGCCCATGGCCGCAGCTGCCGACGCCGACGCCCCCTCCTCCTCCCCTCCTCACGACCCCGCCCAGCCCCCGGAGGAGGAGGACCCCCCGCTCCTCCTCCCCGTCCCCGTCCCCGTCCCCGTCCCCCTCCCCCTCCCCCTCCCGGCCCCCTCCTTCTCCCCCTCGCCGCCGCCCCCGTCTCTCACTTCATCTCCTCGCCGCCTTGAACCCTGCCTCCGCCACTGTGGCCAAGGCCGCGAAGCCCGAGCAACGACCGACGGAGGACCAGGCGTGCAATTTTTATTTTATAATTTATTTTATTAATTTTTAAATTACGAACCGGAACCGGAACCGGCCCGGAACCGTCGGTTCCGAACCGAAACCGAAACCGAAACCGCCCCCTTGTGGTTCCGGTTCCGGTTCATACATGGCCACGAACCGGAACCGACGGTTCCTGAACCGTGGCCATGTCTACCCCAGACTATGTGAAAATATTCAATGTTATCCTTCCATTTATTCAAATTCAGGAACAATCATTCCATTGAATATCTTCAAATGATTCAGAGACTCAATTAAACAAATTAGCGATTTAGGATTAACATTACACATTGAGCTAAAGTTTAAGGACTATATTGAACAAATTGAAAGTTCAGGGATACCATTGTACATTAAAATAAAGTTTATGGACTATTTCGATCATTTTTTCTTTCGCTTTTCTATATGTCCAAAAATAGCTCTCCTAAACTTTCTATATCATAATTTGTGTGGCAATGGGAGGCCCCAAACTAAGGGTCCTTTTGGTTTGACTTTAAGGGAATTGTCTTTAACAAAATGCAAAAATCTTTGAGCTAAAAGGGATTTTTGAAATGCAGGTATTGTTTAGTAAAGTATATTTTTAAAATCACATTTGAAAGAAACGTAAACATAAATACCGTTTGGTAAAAAGTATATATTTTGTAAATAACTTTTGCTAATATATTTTTTTAAAAAGTCTGAGGTGGAGCTCAGCCACCGGTGCCCGCTCGCCGGCTAGCCCAATCTCAGACGAGGCTACCTAAGGTCACGCAACCTCTCCCTCAGGCGAGGCTACCTGAGTTAGCCTGGGGTCACGTGACCTCAAGTGTCGCCTGGGGTCCCGCGACCTAGGCAATGCCGCCTAAGGTCAGGCCAGGCAACAGTCGCCTTAGACCGCACAACCCAGGCCAATGCTTGTCTGAGGTCGCCTTAGACCGCACAACCCAGGCCAATGCTTGTCTGAGGTCACATGACCTCAAGCATCGACTGGGTTGCAAGACCCAAGCAACGGTCACCTGGGGTCCCGCAACCCAAGCGATGCCGCCTGAGATCACACGACCCTAGCCAACGGTTGCCTAGGTCGTGCGAACCCTTCACGACCCCTCAAGCGGCGGTCCGAACTTGCTTCTCTGGGTAAATTAGGAAAGATGATCAATGAACTTGCATTCTGAGAGTGCAACTTGCCAAAATACCTCCGAACCTACCTTGGGCCAAAGGCATAGAGGCTTTCGGAAATGCAATTTCCCCAAAATTCTCCAAAAAATTTGCCAAACACTATTTGCATTTGGCCCATTGCAAATGCTGAACCAAACATGCCCTAAATCACAATAGAATTGCCCCCCCACGAGAAATCGTTTATAACATTAACAAAAATATCTTTTTGACATTCCATCATGAAAAACTCGAGCACGAGGATGGAGTGTTGTACAGACTAAACTACCCTTACAGGCCACGCGTCTATTAGAGGCGTTGAGGACAGATAAGCAAGCAATCGATGATCATCCGATCTTCGTGGTTAATCAAGGGGGGCTGTAATCATACATGAACTGGTAAAAACAAGTGAGACGATGAAGGTTCCGTCTGAGTATTGTACATACACAAATGAAACTTGTGACTTGCTGAATTGATGAGAAACTTACACGAATGAATGCATTTTGAGGGATGAGTAAATCGCTACGATGCTCGGAGATAAATAAATTAAGGAATGGGAATACGCATATTCATCTAAACAAAACCAACAGGCAGAATATAGAATCCGATCGACTGTAAGAACCTATACTTGCAACTTTCACTGCAAACATATGGAGACTACAAAAGATTAATCTTGTGACATAATGTCCACGTAGTTAGAAATATTACTCTTAGCTTCATCTGTTATTTTCCAGCCCGGGGGAGTTTACTCAACCCATTCCCCGGTTTCCCCCACTGCTCATGTGAGTGCGCAACTCCATATGAAGACCTCCTTTTTTGTAAGCATATAGCATTCCTGCTCGAATCTGCCCGCCCAACCCAAGTAAGAATAAGCAAACCTGACAGACCCGTCTTTTTTACCTCACAAGTAAAGACGGTTGCTCATTTTTAGTTAGCAAGGCACTGTATTTTCGGTCATGTAGCCCTAACATCCTCTTATAAACTCCAGGGAGGAGATGATGAGCACTAAAAGCCTCCCAAAGAAATGAATATAAACAATCATCTATAATTACCAGATATCCGGAAACAATTGTTCATACCAATCCAGCATATGACATAACTATACAGAAAGAGCAACACTTTCTTGTTTATACTTCAAATTCATCTGATTAGATCTACTAGGTTTTGGTCCAACTCAACTATCGGATTAGAAAAGGGCACATTCAAGTAAATTTCATATTGGATTAATTTCACAGAACCAACAAAATTCTAAAAAAAAATTCATAGTAGTTCCCAAAAACACATGGGATATCCTCACAATTTCTCAAAAACCTGAGGGATGTTAAATTAACTTACTCCTTTGTTTAGAACTGCAAGGAAATATTATTTTACTCACTATAACTTTTAGAGGAATTGGAATTTCCCCCAAGAGAAATCTGTCTCTCTCTGAATTCTTTCGGGTAATTGACCTATTCCTATAGAAGCTTCTATTTCCTATATACATCAAAGGCATCCACTACACAATGACTCCCTTAACACAAAATTCTTTGGTCCCTAAAAGCAATCCTGAAGTCAAAACCTTTTCTAGAACTCGAGCTCATCCTTCATAAGACTCCACAATCAATCCACCACAGCCGTTTATTTGCAGATACACACAAGTTAACAATGCACATGCTTGATAACTTTGTCTACTTAAATGTATTGACCCGAATTGTGGTATTCATCTGAGAATGAGTGGGATTTGAATTCATGAAACTAGCGCTCTTTTTCACCTTTTTTTCCCTATGATACATCAAAACTTTGATATAGACCACCCTTTGATTCCTTCCACTCACATGAAACCAATTAAAGTTTTCTAGTTAATCTAAACTATCCTTACTTCTCTCCCTTCAATCTCTTGCAGTTATTGATCTGTCCTTTTCATAGACATGGGTCAGAATTTATTTGCAGTAATTCACTTTTTCGAAATTTTAGAGTATCAATAAGCCACTACTGATCAATCTTGAAGAGCAAATCCTCATAAGCCTACTTAGCAGTCGAAGGGGATTTGCCCTGGTTGCTATATTGGTGAAGAGTAAAATGTTCATCAGCAACTGCATGTCGAAAATACTTGAAACATATGCTCACAAATTGTTAAAACATATCCAACAATGCCTTCTGCAATGGTCAATAATTCTCTCCACTTTTCGTTCTTTCACATACAGAAGAGAATGGGTTTCCTTTAAGAGTCCTCTAAGCCAGTTCAAAATTCTCTAGCCCATAAATCAGACGGGTTGGTGTCATCATGCCAAGAAACAGGGCACAGGATGTCATCAAGAATTGCTAGTTTCTAAACATCCCAAAACACCAACTACAACACGCTTTCAGTGAAACCTCATCAGTATCAAGATGACATTTTCCTATATCTGCAGTAAACCCACCTAGGCCAGATGTATGGCAACCAAAATAAAAATAAAAGAAAATAGAAGATGTGCACTCAAGCTCAAAACACATATAAAACAGCTCGTTTTCTCTACATGAAAAGTGATAAAATGACTAACAGACTTAGCTGGACTTTGCAGGGAGCTTGAAAAGGTTCACAGCAGCTAAAAGATGAACAGAGCCAAACTACTAATTTCTTACATCTTCACCGAATTCCCCATCTTCAAGTTCCTCCTCATACCCACCACTTCTATGATAACCATTTCTGTGATCTCTCTTGTGTCTCTTATGGCGGCTTTCGCTGTCAGACTCGGGAGTGGATTCAGGCTGCACCATAAGTTATGCAAAAACAAAAAAAAAAATCAGCACACTAGTGCTGTTAGGAACAATTGGACAAACCTCAAAAAGGAGGACTTGAAAGAATAGAGTATAGAAATGGCCAAATGATATGGAGATGAACAAAAGAGGAAGTGGTTGACTGAGATGAACAAATGAGGACTTCAAGTATTACTCTGACCTCCTCGTTGACGGAGTGAAAATACCAATTAGTAAGACAAAACGTCAGAGAGAGCGAAACCAACAGCATTTTCACTTGCCCTCTGATTCTCTCTTTCCCTACAGCAGTGCACCACCAACCACTCTATAATGTATATTGCCCTCAATACAACAGATCTCCCCAGAAAAATCTAGCAAGATAATAAATGCATCCTTCGAATAGCAACTGAAAGATAATAAGGGCACCAGTTTACAAGACAATAAACATCCTATCCTAGTCTCAGCAATGTCACTTCAATGGTGCTCTCAGTTTCAAAAAGAAAAAAAGGATAGCTGTAGCAGGTAGGGGTGTAGAAAAAAGTCCAGTGCCCTGAAAAGCCTGAACTGACCCAACTTTTTTGGATCCGGGCTAAGCTCGGTCCAGGCTTTCGGGCCTGACTTGTAAATTTTCCGGGCTGGTTCGGTTTTCGGGCCTCAGTATCAGAGGCTAAAAAAAACTGGCCCCGCCTGAGAACACATATAGAAGATATGAAAAAGTTAAAACACAAGAACCCTAATACTCATTCTCATGCCTCCTCCTTTAGCTCTCTCAACTTCATATCTAGCTCTCTCAACTAGGGGTGTGCACTGCTCCTATTCAACCCGAAACCGGTTTAACCGGTTTGTTTCACGGGTTGCACCGGTTTTGAAGCCTCTTTTAAACAAACAAAAGAATACTTTTAAACCCATTGAGAATCGAACCATGGTCTTCAACATGAACAAATAACAATATAAACACTCAACCAACATATGTTTTTGTATTGAAATGGTGCAACTTTTATATGTCATTACAAAAATTTGATTTTATAAAAAAACAAAAAATGGGCCGGTTCTCCATTAGAACCACAAACCAAACCGGAACCAAGCGGTTTAGGAATCAGCGGCTCCAGGTGGATTCTAATATTTTGGAACCAGGAGTCATGGGGTTGGTTCCTAGTTCTAGTCCGGGAACCAATCACCCTTAACTCAACTACCGCTCATCTCCAGCCTTGATCGATGCCACAACTCCAACGTCTGTCTAGGTATCCAACAATGACCAACCATGAAGTTCGACCAAACATCCACCAATTCTGGCCACGCAACGACAGTGGGTGATTACCCTGACCGCTTCAAAACCAAGCAATGACAACTGTGTATCGCTAGAAAACTCGTGAAAAGTGACCACAACCAGTGATGGGACATCAGTAACCTCAAGCGTCGGTTATCTGTTATTGCCTTTTCAACTGTGGTTTGGTACCCTTCTCGGTGTATTTGTTGGTTGATGTTTCCCATTCTTTCTGTGGTGGTGTTAATTTGGAACTTTTAGGTATTTTTTTGGCCATTTTGAATGAAACTTAGGAATTTTTTAGATTTAGGTCACCTTTTGCTCCTCATTTGCAGTTTTCTCAGTGTCTGTCAAACCAGGCTAATCCTGAACCAGGATAGATTTGGTCAGGCCAGCCAGCGAACGAGACCGGGTTAAGCTTTCGGGCTTAGAAACATCTGGCCCGAAAAGTTCAACCCGAGCTTTCGTGAACGCCCCTAGCTACAGTTGCTTCTACAGATATGAATACCGGTGGTAGGCAGTTCAAAAATAATGATTCAGATTCATTCAGTGTGTGCTGCCTCCAAGGATTGTAAGTACTATGCCACTCAACCTATATCCCAACAAACATAGAATTAGGCCCCAAAAGTGAGAATAAATGCTTCTGCTTGAAGCCAATGACTGGTGGAGTACCACCCTTTTAAAACAAATTCTCATCTAAACATATGAGCTGGAACTAATCTTATTTACGTCTTGGTTTCATTGGAAAATGCTCCGCTATGAAAAGGAGCAACAACTATGAGCAGACTAAAATCTGAGCTTGAACATTCACAGGGAAAAGGCTGCAACAATCCAAGTTTTGTTGATGTTGCTGCAGTACTGCAGCAGTTGATCACTTCTTATGACGATCTGAAATACTGGTAATTACCATTTATCTCATGGGCCTTGTTAACGAGTGCTCCTAGGGCACTTGATAAGCATACTTTATATGAACATTTGATTTTGATGAATATGTGTTCACGTTGAACTGTCATCTTGTGTCACTTGAACACCGCATTTCGACGGGATTTACATTCATGCAGCTTCTATCCACCTACTAACTTGAAAAAATTTCGTTAACCTTTCTAACATGATATTATAGCCTGGTTCAAATCCTTCATGTCCATTTAAGTTTATTCCACGAGCGGTTCCCCATTCTTTAGTTCTGGTTGCATTCTTTTTAATATCTTATTCTGATTTGCAAGAGAGAAGGGTTGCTACAGTGTTATCCCTCGTTGCTTAAGTGGGGTGTTTCAATGGGCATATATACATGTAATCTCCCCTCACCAAATAGCTTAAGCTTTTGGATGTGATTTTCTACACACACACCCACTATGCTATGGCTGAGACTGCTCAAAATGAAAGTACATATTAATGTCTTATAACTCGGAAAAAAGAGCGAAACCTTTTGGTTTTGTTCCACTGAGCATTCTAGGTGGAGAAAGAAGTATCCTACACTGTAAATTGTGATGCTGACATGCTCTAACAAACATGACTATTCTGTCCAGAAACCACAACTGACATGGCAGCTCTCTTTGTGGTATGAAACCACGAGATTTAAGAAATCCAGCCAAAACTGAAACAGAGAGACAAGTCCACTTGTATAACTTTTGCACATAATCTCCTCTAAAAGGAAATGGCAGCTAGCTCAAGCTAAGAAGCAGAGGAAATTCTAGGTACCTGTGTGGCCTTCTTATGGTCACCATTGTGTCTATGATTTTTTTCAGAATGCTCTGCCTCAGCAATGTCCATATAATCTGCTGTTCTATGAATATGCCTGTGACGCTTCCTTTCACGATCTTCACCTGATTTTTTCCTCTTATATGATGCACGAGTCTCAGACAAAATTTCTCGGTCACTGTCTGCTCCGTTGTCCCTCGATTCCTCCTCCTCTCTATCATACCTATCCTTTTCTCTCCTATCTTTCACTCTTTTCCTTTCTTTTCCCCGCTTCTTCTTTTCCTTTTCTGCCTGCAAAGAAGCAAAACAAGTATAGACAATAAAAACTTGAGGCAGCAAGTACCAACGCACGAAATTTTGCATGGTCATAATAATTTTGACTTTTTAAGCCTTCTCTTTCGCCATAATGTTAAGGTACTAAAAGTAAACACTTGAAGTACTAGAACTGAAACAACACAGATCAAAATGCCATAGGAATCTGTCCTTAAATTGAGCTAAAAAGAATGAGCATCTTGCTACATTCCATCTGATTTTTGCATCACTACTTCAATTGCAACATAGCACCGAATTTTGAGGTTCCTTTGGCCTCACTGTGTTCTGGCAAATCTCTTGAGATAATGGAGCAAAGAGTATATCATACATTTTTACTTTCATTTACCAATTGAAAATAACAAAACCAAAGGAGAGACAATCAAGAGTGTACACTCTTAAATAAAATATCTAGTACATGAATTAAAGCAGATAAGTACCTTTTCCTCCTTGTGTTTTCTTGTTTCGTGATCCTTCAATTTTGTTATGTACTCTTCAAAAATATCCTGACAATAGATATCATCACCGATTGAACTGCACAAGAATTTTTGTGGCAATGTCAGATTCTAGCGTATGCAACAGCATCTCAGAAAAAAAATGAGAAGTAAATTGAAGCTGGATATTCAAATATCAAGGTAGGATAAATACTGTGGATTGACAACCAAATATCAGACTTAATTCAGTTCCCATATGCAGAAAAATCCCCTCAGCAAGTTAAATTAAAATAACATAGCAATTAGATGACAGGTTTAGCCCATTTACACGATAGTCTGTAGAATAACAAATGAAGTATGGCTGTTTTCTTCAAACAACTACATGCCATGATATAATCAAATTTAACGTTGTCCTAAGCTATACCTGTACTCATGACTATTTTCAATCAGTTGTTTGCACTCATCCCATGTTGAAGATGGAGTTATTTCCTGGAAATGAGTAGATGAAATTTAGATAGCAAAAACATATCTCTACAATATGCAGATACATAAGATGAGTGTGAAGGTATATCGTTGACATCCATTCTCAATACCCTTATAGTCGTAAGTAAATCGAATAACTTATCACCGAGTCGTTTACGCTTTTTAGCAACTCTCTCTTCTTTCTTCCGAGCTCTTTCCAGCAAGTCATCAAACACTAACTGCAAAAAGCAAGAAAATCCAGGTCAGATGTTTCTATTGCATGATAAAGTCTTAACTGTTTAAGCTGAGCTTATATATTAGGTTCCTTCTCTCATTAGTCTCTCTTCTCCTTCATCCAACCCATTTTAGAAGTCAGGCTCATATCTTCCGTATTTAAAAACATTTCACAGACAAATTTACTGTTTTTCCTTGCTTGCAATTGAGCTGAACATTCTAAACTCAAGCCCCTGCCTAACTTCTTGGTGAAAAAATCAGCCACCTTGCCAATCAAAGCTATCAAATTCTAGCATATCGTTGAGAACTTTTGGTATGTCAATTATTAATAAGTTGAGATATATTTTCCCAAATTCTGGCCCGTCTCACCATCCAAACATTAAATATCATGGTTCAGCCGGAAACCGCAAGTGCTGAATCCATCCATCAGTCTGTCAGTAGAATGTAATCATCCAATTAACAGTCCCTTTGTACAGTCACCCAATCAACAGTCTTTGATCTCATAGAAGACATCCAGAGATTTCAAAGTTTCAACTAGTAATTATAAAAGGTTTCACTAATAGAAGTTGAGCTGCTTAGCCTATCGATTCAATGAAAACAATCAATTCTTTCTCCATTCATTTAAGCTCTTAGTCACGAGATATATGAAACTCACCAGGGTAAGAATGAATTTTTTAAAAGAACTGTCAACTGCTTAATTGTAAAACCTATGTGATTGACTTAAATATTCCGAGGTAATTTACAGGAATCTAAGCAACCAGCTTTTGTCAGCAAAAATCACTTTGTTGATTCGACATGGTTTCTGACTGACTTTCTACCATATCATGCCTAAAAAATCATGATTACTTCAGTTGTTTGATTAGGTAGAAATATTTAAACATTTAACGTCTTTGCTTTCAGCACACATGATCATATAACAATAACAATTCATACTTCAACTATTTACTCCAAATAGTACCAATAAAATACAGGCTACATATAACCAACTTTCAATGTAGTGCAACAGCAAATTTCAGAGGCCCAACAAACAAGGTATGAATCGTAACAAGGCCCCAATAAATTGTTCTGAAATAGTCTGTACTGAAAAAAAAAAACACTATGTGGACCATTATTGAGGAGCCGGAAGGAAGAAGCAGGTGGTGAGAGGGAGGAATTAACAAGCTGAGAAAATAACTTACTTTAAAATTAATTTCTGATATAGGTGCGCCACGCATATCATCTGCAATGGATCCTCTCAGGTCTTCAACAGTCCAGGTTGATGTTAAGGAGATCTGATACAAGCCAGAAGATTAAACAGGACGACATAGGCAAGAAACAGCAAAACCCTCAAATCAATCTTACCTTTCTAAGTTTTACTGCATCATCTACTTGAGATTTATCCTCCTCATACTGCCAAAGGAAGAAAAGTCAGAATTTGCCACTTTCCAAGCACATATTTTTCATGTTCTATAACGGCATCATAGACACAACTCAATAAAGTAAATTTTCAAGAGCCATAGCAACAAAATTAGTGAAATTGGCTTCAATTGACCATTGCATGATCTGGAAGGAGACTAAGACATGAGATGGCATTATTCAAAATAACTTTGAAATCATACTTCAAAATCAACCAAAGAAGTAATAGACTCTTGTGTTTCACCGAAAGAACACTAAAAGATAATGAAGAGCAAAATCTTCCTGCAGCATTGGCGTACTCAGTGAAAGCACTAAGCAGAAAAACAATTCATTTAATAAATGCTTATCATGTAATTCCCAAAGGGGGAAAAAGAAAGTATGGGGAAACAGGTGAGTTCCCTATATAAGAGTGACTATATTGATACGATGTATGTCGCCAACTTGAAAGCTCTAAGTGAAGAAAATAGAGAGGGGCATAATCTGAACGAGTGATTCAGGTAGTTCCGTTGAACCATACGTGTTTATGCTATTTTATCTACGGAATTACAATGCAAAATGAGGCACGATGCATGTTAATCACAACAAATCTGTCACAAATCAGGAATCAAATTCTCAAATGTAAGACTGCAAGTTCAGCATTTGGATCCTCTTACATGATTGCATCCCTTTGAATAGCAGAATATCAATATAATGGATTAACGTCCTTATCCTGGTTGTGTATAGCAGCTGCAATATTGCACTCACGCAGCTACCACTATTGGTCACTACTGCGACAAGAACAAAATGCATGCCAATGGCAACCAATTCCAGTCTTATTGCTGAGATACGACCTCACGAGACCTCTACTACAATTTGAGACCTTGGTCCTTAATTAAAGTAATGTTCACGTCTCTAACCCTTCTGCTAACTCCCAGCATCCCCACCATAACATGACAGCTTTTAACTGTAAAATCTAAAACCCATATTTCAAATGTCCTAACCATACTGAAGAGGTTCGTCTAACATCTTTATTCACAGCCACACAACTTTTTCTCTGGCATAATAAATCTAGGATCTATGATAGATGCTCTAAAATCTGAAAGGAGTGACTAATGTATTAAGATGGTGAAGACACAATCTAGTATTACAGAAACTGCTCTTAGTGGAGATAACTCAGTAAACCTTGGGAAGAGATGGTACCTAAAAGCAAACTAATTTACATTCTTGAGACAAGGCTTCACAATACAGACAAGTACATTTAGTAAATAGAATTAGAGTTCAATTTTAGTGGAGAAATCATTCAGAAATCCTAGAGTCTTGAAATTACTTCTAAAAGTTGTAAAGTTTTTAAGAACCACCATGAGACCAGCAATGCAATATAAAAAATATTGATAGAAGGGAAAGCACCTATGATACACAAATCATCGCCAACAAGAGAATTCAGAGCAGTGGGAAGACCTGAAGTATTAGTTTCATGACGATAAAAGTAACAACGCTGGCTGAAGTAGCTCCAGTTAGGGGCATTATGAGAGATGCTAAAAGGGCCAATACGTGTGTATTAATAAGTGGAGTATTGACATGTAAAGATTCACTTAGCCACTGCCAGCCAGGTGTAGTCCAATGAAGGCTTGGTTGACAGTTTTACTTGGCAATCATGTCCTAGAATCATTAGAAATAAGATCCAGAATTCAACATGAATCATTATAGAAGGATGGAATTATTTTGCTGTTATTGATAGGCACAATTCATTTACACAGAAACATGTCCGAAGAAAAACTTATATGGGTTTCAGCTATTAAATAAATTAAGAAAATGAATTCGAATTCCAACTCAATGTACACCAAAAATACTTGACATAAAGGCATACTTCACCTGTTTCTGTAGTTCCTCGGCAACATCTTCAAACAAATCTTTTGGCGTTGAACCTGCCGTATTTGACGCAACTGCCATATATGCTGGTAAATCTTTAACCTAGAACCATCACAAGTAAAACAGATAGGTAGTTTAGTAACTAAACATATTCATTCTATAGAGGAAACAGGTGGACTCTAACCGTCATGTAGTAATCACGCCAAAGAGTCTTAGCAGTTAGAGTGCCAGCAGCAACATGTTCTTCCATCAATTTGCGGAATTCATCACGGTTTTTGCGCTCTGCCTTTCTCATTTCCTCCTGCATCAGTAAAAATGATAGGAAAACATCGGAAACAAGAAAGAAATTAAATGGGTTCACCTTATCAAAAAAGAAAGAAATATTATGAAGATGAAAAACATTTAACTGCCCGATGACAAATAAAACAACACCTTCTGTATCTTCCTCTGCTCCTCCTCTTCTTTCTCTAGTTCATGCAGATAATCCTGAAAAATCACGTTCATCAGGCCAATATCAAATACCAAAATAATAAAATCCCCAAGAATTAGCACAAACCTGGAATATCTCTAACCGATCGATCTTTTCAAGGCGTGAACATCTCTCATCAGCCTCCAAGCGATCTTGTAGTTTGCGCCACTGACTGCTAGCCTACATAAGAGAAGGTAATCAGTGGATGGGAGAGATTAAGAAGTTCCCTAATAGAGGGACTGGACATGGAAAAAAAAGCGTACCAAAAAAATAACATAAATGAGAATTGAAAATATGCTATCAAAGAGGAGTTTGCTGAAAAGTACCTTAATAAAATCGCAAGACTCCAAGAATTGCCTGTATTCCCTTATATTTTTCTTCCGCTCCTCCAAAGATCTCTCCCGCTCCTAATAACAGTGAGTTTACACATACTTAGTTTAAGAATGTAGATGAAGTTACCCCACAGATTGATAAATTAGATACCAGATTAAACCAACCATAGATCAATCAACTACAACCAGATCAAGCGAAAACCAAAATGATTCTCGAAAAAGTACTTCCCCGTATGCTTTCAAAAAAGGAATTTCCAATTTCTTGTTAAGTACTTAGTTTCAAATTCAAGCTTCTACATAACAAATTTTAGGTTCAATTGAAATGTTGCAGCGAAATTTTGCAAGGAGCAGCTATCAATGTCCAATAGGTTTGAATGACAGTAAATGATCACTATGTAGCGTCATGTGAATGGAAAGAAATTATTCACTTCTCAAAATTAGAGATTTGCTGCCAAATTCAGGCACCTTTTCATATGCATAAAAATCAGTCTGATTCACAAGCATGCGTAACACAGCCCAAAAGCACATCAGATTTTTTCGGTAACTGCCTCCAGATGCCACATCTCACAGCCACATAACTCAAATAGTATATTTGAAAAGCATAAGAAGCAGTTCCACTACTTAAATTTTCTGGGTGGCAATACCGCAATGCTTTTACCCTCACCATTAGACTTAACAGATCTCTTCTAATTGATTTGACACAACAATATCCTCACAGTACCCTTTATTTTATATTTCTTTTTATGCACTAAACACAAAAGTGTACGTGGACCAAAAAGAACTAATAAAATGTACTGCAAAAAATAATGTCAATCAACACTCGGGTAGCATAATTTAGGTACCAAAAAAAACCTTTTCCTAAAACCAAAAGGAAAAGAATACCTTCTTTTCCAGCTCATTAATGAAGCTCTCAAATATATCCTTCCGGTCTTTGTCTCTTTCAACAGCTTTGAAACGTTCATCTTCTTCAAACAATGTCACTACTTTGCTAAACAATATTTAATTATATAGGGACATTAGTGACAAATGAAAACTGACATAAAGCACCAAAAGAAAACCATCACCAAGACACACCTCCATCTTGAAGAAGATGTCAGCTCTCTGCATTCCTGGGTCAAAATTTGGTAAAGAAGAAATGAGAAAGCAAGAGGGGAAATGATAAATTTTTTAAAGTGAGAGGCAATGAATGACTCACTTCTAACATTTGCTTGAAATTATCCCTAGCTTTTTTTTGCTGAATGCGTCTATCCTCAACTTCCTGCTTTTTCCTTTGACCAACAAACTGTCCCATAAAATTCAAGTGAATTACTCAAAAGAAAGGGAAGATAGGACGACCATTACAGAGCTTAAAATTTAAAGTTTTACCTCGTTAAATGCTTCCTTCCTCTCTCCAAGTGTTTTTAAAGCACCATACCTTTTATCATTTATAATTACTCTCATTGCCTGAAAAGTCAGTGCTGTTATCAGTACTTGAAGTAATCTGAGTGCAAATAAAAGCTTCAAAATAGTAACTTACCCGCTCCCAAGTCCAGTCAGAACTGATATTTGCATTCTCCAGAAGTGCATTAAATGCAGCTTTAGCTTCCTAAACAAGTCAGGATCATCATAACTCTAATTACAGTACCCAGGAATATCTCTTAAGAGGACCAAAATATTGCAAATCATGTGTCATACCAGCTTATTGGCATATGGTGATGATTCACTATTAATTAATTTCTCTTCGACAAGTCTCTCTGCCCCTTCAGCAATCACTTCATTTTTCTTGGCTTCCTGAAAAGAAGTAAACAGTTAAATTGCTTATAGCATAGGAACTGCAAACTAGAAGACACCATTACAAGATAATTTCAGGCATACTTTGTCTTGAACAGACACTCCAGCTGAACAGGGAATATCCTGAATAGTGGACTTCTCGGAATCAATCCTGCAAATTTAAATATAGAAAGTTCAATCCCCTAAAGCTACTTGGCTAACTTTCTATAACATGATAGATTCCTTATTAGGTTACATTGGGGTTGTGCCATCATCAATCGTATCAGCAGCAACTTCATTGCTCCCTTGAACAACAGCCATTTGTTCAGCATCATCCACAGATATATCCAAGACAACAGCCGCCAACGTTGAAGCAGGCACTGGGACAGATATTTCTTCTGATTCAGCAACCACTGCTGACTCTGTGTCCCCAGAGGCATTAAGAGGTGCCACTGGAACTGGGCTCGATGTAGCTCCTTGAGATGTCAAAGATGATATATTTGAACCATCGAGTTCTTTAACTGGAACCACTGAAGTAGAAGACGAAGGCAGGGACTCTGATTGTGTTCCTGCGGCCAATTTTCTCTTTGTCTCTTCACGAGCCAACTGGAATTAAAGAGTGTCAAAATAACATAGCACAGTAGAAGGGTAAAGAGAAGCAAAAGTGGATGCGATTTAGGCACCTTCAGTTCAGCAGGCATTTCCCACTTAGACTGCTTAGTAACCTTGTTGTAGTAGTATCTACATGTCAATCAATAGGAGAGAGTCAAAACAACAAGGAGCATATAGGGATAAACATTAACTTGACTTGAAAAGCACTTACATCCTTCCGTCAGAACTTGTAAATTCCTTCCAGTCGGTTGAAGCATCTGCACGCTGTCACAGTAAGAGAATGACAATGAGCAAAAGAGAACACTTTCAATGGAAAAAATATACACATGGTCAACTAGAAAAACTAAGTAACTTTTTTTGGGGGCAAAATGGAGAAGATATGGAAAAATCTAGTCCACCAATAAAATAATTAAAAGAGATCACGACAAAGTCACTGGCAGTTGGCAGTTTTCACATTTAGATGCAGCATGTAGAAAAGGGCAATCAAAGGTGAAAAGTGCACCACAAAAGTAAACTTCGTCATATATGATCATTAGCATGGCACACAAAGCCCACATCCAACTCAAGTACACCCTTAATATGAGCATCAAGCGCCATACGTCAAGTCAAGATGACATCAAAGCAAATCAAAGTCACATTATATATACTGTCCACATGATAAGTTTCGACAATTGCTAACAAGGACAGGAGAGATAATACCCAAGAGGATCGTAAGATCTTATAATAATTGAAAATTGAAAAACAAACAGGGAAGCCACATTATGTATAAAGGTAATATGCATATCTAGTGGACAGCCGGGAACGAATATATTTTTCAATCCTTCAGTTTTTTTAAAGTTAACTTCCTGATATTAGCATGCAGAATATGAGGTTCTATTTTTCTTCCCGTGAGGAAACAAGCTCATTTGTGGTGATTGACTAGAAAGCATAGTAATTTTATTTGCTCGAAAAACCAAGAAACAATTTACCAGAATGGAAGAAATGAGAACCGCCCAATTGATTAAATAACATTCACAAATTTGCATGGCTAAATTCATTTGCCCATCCTTCTTTTGTGAATGTTAAAGACAAAACTCATTGAAAGCATACTGACTACCACAGGGGTATCATCCCAGAACAGAGCTAGATATGAGAGACTGGGTCTATCAAATCTACCAAATAAAAGGCGTCACTTAATGATTTTTGTGTAAACCACAATTCAATAACTGTACAGATCTGTTTTTAGAAAATCAATAATCTACTCTTTGTTCTGAAAGGCCCTGATAATTTCTCCCTCCAAATTACCCAAAAATAAGCAGTAAGAATAGCTCAAAGCATTCTTCTCTTCTTCTTATCAACCAAACTGCAGACCTTTTTACGCCCGGATTTCCTCCTTAATAGCAGCAGCTTCACACCCACAATTGCCGAGGCCTAATGCTATTGCCTTGTTTAATCACCGCGCAGAAGAAGGTGACAAACAGATACACTTGAAGTTTTATAGAAAAAAGCCCCTATTCACCAAGCTGAAGTTTCTCTTTTGCAGATTGTTAATGGTCTAGTATTTTACCCACAAGCAAAAAGGCAACTCTAGAAGGAACTTTTGGTTATTAGATTATATTGGCCAGGAAAGCATCCATACCACCAGGAGGTGCTAAAGAAAGTAGTGCACGGTAGGACTCGACAGCGAACCCAATTTATCAAACTGATATCTCAGAAAACTGTGAAATCTCTCAATGTACCAATTGTGAGCCAATCCTCAGAAAGAACATTCCAGAGAACACCCTCATCAGAAAGAAGAAATAACAACAGTGTTTTCTTGATGGGAAGCAACTTGGAACAATTCCAGAGACAGCTCACTTAAAAGAAGATCCATGGACCACCTGTCATGCCAGAAGGAGATGGAGGAGCCATTTCCCACTTTGAACTCAAAATGCATAAAATCAGGATAACCTTTCCTTGTTTCTCTCCAAACTACAACACAATGACTTTTATTTGCTCCTCATTATTTCAGGACCTAAGCTGACTCCCAATTGTACATATTGCCTGGAAGTAAAGCACCTTCAGAAAGCATCTTCACACGGAAAATCCTTTTGATGAAACCTAATGACAATTTCCCATTACAGGAAGAACACCTCGAATCTCGCTCTTCTCTCGAACAAACACCAAACAACCACACTTACCCAACTTAAAGTCTCACAATGTGCACAGAAAATTAAAAACCATGTCAGCCTCCAATCTGACATGCTCCTAACAAACTTGAGACACCTATGTAAGTTTTTTTGTTTGGTCAAAAAACACCTATGTAAGTTCAATTAACAGCAACTGCTGCAACATCATATCAACAAAAAATGACTCAATTTGTAGAAACAGATTTCTCGGTTACAACACTGATGATAATGCCTAATAATTTCTACTCTGACAGATCAATAAGCATCTTCATATAAATAAGATCACCACATAAACTAAGATACTCATGCTAAATGCACAAATGTAGTCGTATTTGCTTCTCACGAAACACAAAAGTTTTTACCATGGGTACAAAACTCAAATGATTTCCTTTTCAACCAAGTGACAAGCCAGCTCTTCTTTTGTGTTACCTCTGTGCTCAAACAGGAAGAGCAATGAAATGCCAGATACAAAAGTTGGAATGGTAATCAATACACATATAACATCAAATCCTATACCAGATGCGAAGTAATTTATGTTACATTAGGAAAAATTACCCTGGATCACTATATTACGAGCTAGACAATGTACAAGTAGAATTTCACAATGAATGCGATTACAGTCAAGCATCAAGTGAAGAATAGCCTACCTCAGTGACCGTCATCAACTCAAAAGGCTTCTCCCATGTAGATTGTTTTGTCTTCTTGTTGTAATAATATCTACAACAGACAACAGAGAGCAAAATAAAATCAGGTACTTTTAAAGCTAGATTAATGAAATATTAAGAGGAAAAGGAGTAGACAAGAAAAATTTGCGTACTTCAATAAATAGAAGGCTGTAAGAGCCACTTTGCATTTACTTGTCATCCAATTGTAATATCTAGATCCACTCAATAAAATAAAATTTGAAGCATGACCATTCTCGCTCATTTTTAAGGCAGCCCGGCTCTAGAATTCCTCAGCAGACAATTGATATTACCCTGTTGCAAAAGCAACTCAAGCTATTGTTTCGGTGTCTCTGCAACTAACTTTACCTATAGAAGTGCTTGCCAGTTGACAATAGAAAACAATCCCATATCAGCAACATCGGAGATATTACCCAAGTGGATAGCTTCTATATAGATGGGCATAGCCGTAGGGCTCCTTTCACTCCATTGTGCTCTCATTTGTGCCATATTCTCCATAATATACAAAAACCTCCCTTACATTGTCCACCCATCTTCTTCATAGGTCTCACCTATTCCTTAGGTCACAATATCACAAGCACAAGAATCCCCACATTGTATTCTTAAATGGGCAAATACAAACTTCTCTCCTCTAAGCTTAAGTTTAATTCAAAAGGCAACAGTTTATTTTGATTGACCCACTTTTTTGGCTAGTCAACTCTAATTCACTTGTATACAGAGCCTATTCAGAAGAATGTGGAGATACTAAGACAGAACGAGTCAATCCAACCGCTTTCATGATAAAGTAACGAAGGGAACTGAATACAAATTTACCACCAAAAGTATTAACCATTTTCTCAAGCTATAAAGCCAACAATCTTTGTGCTTTAAAGTTCGTCTTTTCTATTATGTGTATTGGCATTCATTGCAAGTTATCCACCAAGAGAATATTAATTTCTAGGACAGCACTATTTCAGTTATCGTAATAGTGGCAATACAATTGCCACACACTGCGTGCAATAAGCATTATAAGTTCTCATCAGTCGAAGAAAGGTTGCCCTTCATAAGCATTCTGCACCTACCAAGATGGTCAATCCTAGTTATTATGGTTATTTTTTATATGAGAATTCCTTTCCTCTTCAGGAAAGTGACTCTAAAAAAAAATCCATCAAAATCACATACTTTCTTCCTGCAGCAGAGGTATGCTCTATCCAATCGGTTTGGATTCTTTGGACAGCTTCAGAAGAGTTATGCTGAACACTTGGCTCCTGAACATTTCAAACTAGAATTTCAAGAAGTTCTTCAAAGTATCTATGAAAAGAGAATGTTCAAAGTATTGTTGCAAGTGAGAAAATTATGTGGCCAATGAAGTGAAACAACTTAACCATATTAAATTCATACAAGTGCTAGTGCAGCAGAAACTGCAGGCTGCTCACTGGTAACCGGCAATACAGTCACAGGGGTAGTCTTCTGGCTTTCAGATGGCAGATTAACTTGATCCCCACTTGAGACTCCTGAAACCTGTGGTTGAGACATTTGATGGTAGAGAGATGGGGGCCTTGGAGCAACAAAGTTCCCTTGCTGCTGTCCCCCATGAGAAGCAAACTGCAACTAATGCAGTCCATGAAAGCCATGTGAGGAAAGAGCTTAAAAGAAATTTTCAATTGATAAGACTTCTGATCTTACTGTGTATGATGATGACAGAGGAGCTCTTAGGCCGCTCCCTGCAGGCACGAAGTTATTCGGAACAAGACCACTAGGCTGATGAGGTCGTGATGACTCAGATGCGATGGGCTTATTTTGCTGAGAAATAGGCAATGGCGGAGGAGGAGGAAGGATATTCTGAACTGGCTGGCCAGGCCTTGGAACTAAATGTTGAACTGGTGGAGGAAATTGGGGATGCTGAGGTGCAGAAGGCAACCCAATATTCCTGAGTAGAGTAACGTGGCTAGGAGGCTGAAAATGTTGAGGTACTGTTGAAACAAATTGCTGTGGTTGCTGAGGGGGAAGCGCTGGCCAAGGCTGCAATAATTTTAGATTAAAAGAAGTTTTAGATTGATGCTAATCACAGTAATAAGTAGGACACAAGTAAAATGGAAAATGCAGTACTGGAACAGGCACTGGCTGAGTAAAATTCCTTGGAGGATCTGCAGAACCGACTACAGGAGGCTGTAGAGGCTGTAGTAAAATAAGCAGTCAAAAAGAATCAGCCATTAAATTATAGGACAACCAACATTAGAAAATGAAAATGAGTGATGAAGCTATTCCGAAGGCAAATGAATACGTATACTCCATGCCAAACACCTATAAAAAACAAGAAGACCGATTTCTTGATCTCCATTCACCCATGGAAAGTGGGAATCAATTCCCCCAGTGCATCTTACAATTTACAAGTAGAACTCACAATTAAGATATTTGAAGTCGAATTCTTAAGCCGTGAAGATGGTTATTAGGTTTGCTCAGCAGATAAGCAGAAAACACGTTGGCGTTCTTTTGTCTACTGTAGCCTTGCTCAATTGGTTGCCAGTGAACTTATGCCCTCTTACTTTCCCACACCTCTGCTTTTCCAAATGGTATTGAACTCTTGTTTCCAATTTATAAAGATTGGCAGGTTCTTACAATTTCTAGCCATCTTATCCCTAAACCAGAACTGTTGAATGTTGATCATTCTGTCTCTCTTCTTGTTTTCTCACTGTCCAATGGCTAAATCACCTTCTACACTTTCTTTTGGTTGTAATTTACACCGTATCTATATGGCTTGCTTTTCCACCAAGTCTTCCTAGACACAGCATCAAACCATTCCAATCAATTTCTTTGCATAATGTAAATGAGTCCACAAAATGGCAGATTTCCTGCAACTTAAAGGTTTAATAATCTTCGCAGGGTTACGTAATTCGTTTCACCCAGATTCTTCACTTCACAATGCAAGTATCCATGTTTAACTCCCCATAACCAAAACAACCCCCTCCCCTCCCCCTGAGGGACTCATGCACCAATTTAGATATGGAAAAGATGATATCTCTTAGGCATAATCTTGGTTTTAAAAGGTACTTAGGTATTATTATAGCAATTATGTCTGCTCAAGACTCTGTAAACAGATTCGGTCATTTTGAGAGGACATTAATAATGCACGAGGAATAAAACTATTTCCCATAATAGTACCTGAAAACCTGAAAATTGAGTATCGTTGGCCATTGGAACTGAGTTACCAGCTTCAAGAATATACTGCAACAGAAATGAACACGTTAATCTTTTGGACTTTGCAGCACAATGAAAACAAGCACAAAATTAAATACAATAAAACATGCTTATCTCCGTATATCATTAAATAGAATTACAGATGAAACTATACCCTCGTGCGGTTATGCCACATACGTCACTGTATTCGTATCTTAACAATCGATTATTGTAATAGTCTAAGTTACAAAGGTCTGGATAAAACCATACCAAGCAAATACTTGACCATTCGACCTAATCGTCAACCTAATTACCCTTTCCCCTGATCAATTTTTTCAGTAATGTTTTCCCATTGAATCAGTAATCTCTGATAATTGGCTTTTCTTTTCCCAAATAATTGTTATTTCCAACTTACACAGCCGATAACTTGACAACAGAAACTATCACCAAGCCTCTAACTAACATGAATGGAGATGTTTCTCGTCACTACTGACTCTCTGTTTGGTTACTTCCATTCTAGTTATCCCTCTTACTGATAATTGGTTAATTTGCTGAGCTAGTACAGAGTTCTTAGCAAGAATTCTTTCTGATTTGATTGATATTTCTTCTTTGAGACCCGAGAAGCCATAATGACATTGATGCACATTGCAATTTATAGAGACAAATCACCGTTTTTCCTCAAAACCCAGATTCCAAACATCCGGCATGCAAGCGATTAGTGACCATTAATGCCATAGTTGATGGCATTCCTTTTTTAAGCCAGCACTCAAGGAACCGCAGGCAGTCCATACATTACGAGCTGCGGTCCATTTTCTCATAATCACAAGCAATGTCTCAATTGGCTTCCTAATTAATTCCTCCAACAAAACTTTCAACAATTCCCAAACTTAAAACTCTCGTTTTAGGAGACTGAGCAAGTCACCAAAGTCAAAATAGCCCTACCGAGGCGGCCAGTATCAGCAATATTTAGATCACTGAGGAAATAATTATAGACAAAATGAAATTAATAGAGAAAGTTATTGCAATCAACCTAACTTGATATAAGCTTCTCAAACAAGGTAAAATAATGTAAGAGGATAACTGATCTATAACCTCTTTTCATGTTGTTCTTTTGTCAATACGAATAACCTTCAATGCTAGTTTCGTGACCTTTTGAAGATGTAGAAAGAAGTTTCAACGAAGCTATTCGTAATAAAGCTTTGGTTTTACAGCATGGGCACAAATGAGCTCTCTAACACCTTTGTGGTGTTTTATGTGTGACTCAAAAAACTTGGTTCTTGCCCTTTGCAGGTAGTTCCTTGACATGGCAAGAAGAAAGACCTTGAGAATATGCAAATTATGTGTTGATCCTCCCAATATGCTCACTTGTTATCTCCCCCAACAATATGATGACATTATGAAAAAAGATTTTAAGACATCTTTTGGATTATTACCAGATATCTAATCAGAGCCAATTGCAACTAGATGATAGATTCTTTATTAAGAAATCATGTTCAGGTATCTGAGTTTGATGCACAAGCTTCTCTCCAAACTACAAGCAAATAAAGGAAGGTGCACTAAGTTGGAAAGCATTTTGAAAAATCAGATACCTATAAATAATATATCATTGCCGTTGTTTTAGTTGGTCATGACTGTTTGAATCATTCATGTCCTCCAGGTAAACTTTAACTGATCAACTACCATGGCAAAGGATCATTGATGATTTTGGCTATATTTTTGTGTTTCATATTCTTGTTTCACAATGGGCAAACAGTAAGAATTTCGGTTTAAGAAGAAAGATGTTGTTCAACATGTATGAACTTCACTTGACTATTGTGGGTCAATCTTCTAAATTGCTAACTCGACATAGTAGCTTATATACCTTATAATATGTGTAAATTTATATGAAATATCAATCAACACTTCTCCGATTTCCTTGAAGAGAGAAGCTTAAGTTAGATATTATGTAAAAATGTCCATACTCTTCTCCAATCCAATCATCTCATTTCCTCAATTGACTTCTTGTGCACAAAATGCATCTGAAACGTGCAATTTTACAAATATGGAGAATCAATAGCTAAACCTAAGAATAAATAGATTATACCAGTATACCCACAACATTCAGTATTCTTTTATGAATATCTATGGAGATATTTACAATGCCAAACCAAGATAATGAAGTTCAAGAACAAACAACTATCAAACCAATAACTACTTAAACGTAAGCACAAAATTTTCTAATATACAATCAAACCATACTCACGATCATCTACCATCGATGTCCAAAATACATTTTTTTATTAATATCTTGGGTTTAAAAGGCGTAGTATAATAAATTAATTGCAGCACTATGTTTGCTCTGTGCTATTAACCTATAAATAGACACAAACCACATGTCCAATCCATGAATTTGCACAGGTCCTCTATTAACGCACAATGAAACGGGCCACTTCAAATCCCAAAATGAAGACTTTAAGAGCACCGTAAGCATAAACATTCTAAAGAAGTGCTTAACCAATATGGTGGCTGTGTGGTAGTGCTGATGAGCAGCAAGCTCCACTCTCCCAACTCTCTTTAACAATGGAAGTTACGGTCGTAACAGGAACTTGGCAAATTCCAGAAGCAGAAAGAGTCAAAGGCTGAATTTTGGGCTACAAACATTCTTGGTAGGAAAACATCTTCTCTGTTTGTAACTGCAAACAACAACAACAAAATTCACAATCATTATTTAACACAAAGGCCTCAAAAGCAATGTCAAGCTTGAAAGTTAAAATCAATTCTCTGTTAGATGCAAGATTTGTTTCACTCAGTTTTCCGTAAAGATGGCAGGTCCCACCACATATTGAGCACATGATTTTGCCAGGAAAAGGCATTTGAAATTGACACGGAGATGCAATTACTCAAAATAAAATGCTTTTTGTCCAATACAAGCGCCATCATGGCCGTGATCCCCTTTACTTCATATATCTATCCACAAATTTGGTAAATCTACACTTGATAGCTCTTATTAAAATACTAAGTCCATTTAAGAGACCCGTCTCTATCATTTAGCTCATTGTTAAATAGCCCTTGGAAGATAGAGTATAGAAGTGTAGATGACCGGATACAGATAGAAGACATCTACTCATTGAAAATCCAGATTTCCACGTGCAAGGACATTCTACCAAACATCAATCCAGGTGCAATATAGAATCTAATCAGCTGTCCTCGACGATGCCATCGCATTGAAAGACACGACAAAAGAGCATGGACAGAACGCATGCAGAGTGCAACATGGCATGACTAATATGAATTCTGATTCGCTTCCTTAACACGATCCGACATTCAATAGTAGAGTGTGCTTGTTCAGCCGGACATACTAAAAGCCAGAAAAACTGACTTGAAATCAAATAGAACGCTCGCCCGGCCCCTCTTTGATAAAACCATCACATTTATTTGTGGCAACCAACTCGAAGACCTACATTGCGCGGAGACCTTTGCCTACTCCGCTTCATCTTCTTTTCATTCCTTTAGCTACTCAGATGCTTCGTTTGCTACAATCTTAGTCGAATGAGCCCCAAAGGAAAAAAAAAAAAACGAGTCCTAAGCAGCAATTTGGTCGAAATCAAATACCCAAACCAGCCAACCATTGTCAGAAACGGCCTGCAGTGCCACTTCAGCAACGATATCCAAGTTCAGGAACGTAACTCACAGGTCAATCTCTAGGTGAACTCTCCCTCTTCCTTCAATTTTCTCTTCCAAAATCCTCTCCTAAATCAAAAAAAAAATTCACCCACCCCCCACCTTCTTTACGATTCAGAACACAAACCCGCCGTTCTTGATTCGACAATCACCGAGGATCGTCCAAAAGAGAGCGAAAAAGGCAAAACCCGACAAAGGAATCGCAACTAGCGACCGACCATCATTCCAATTTGCGACAAGGAAACGTGGCAGAGAGCGTCTCGTACCTTGGTAACCCGGGTCCGTTCTGGGTCCGCAAACCCGGCAAACAACTAGCGAAGGGGCGCCCTGGTGGGTCGTCCTTCTTCTTCTTCTGGGTTTTGGGTTCTGGGAAGCGAAGATATTGATTGGATTCGTCTTGTGTTTGCCGGTTCAAGGGAAACGGGAATGGCGATGCTTGGGTCTCTCTGGTTTGTCGTCCTCTGCTCCTCCCTTCATGCGGTGAGCAAATTGGAGCGACCCCTTCAATTCTTGATTGCTCTTTCCCCCCGTTCGCTATTGCCAGACACGTCCTTACCGTTTCATAATCGCCGCATTTATTTTCTTTCCTTTGCATTTTTTTTGCCATAACATTTTTATTGCACTCTTGAGAACGGAAAAAACAAAAGTAATTGGATTATTATTATTATTATTATGTCCATTTTATTGTAAGAAAATTTTTACTCACTCACCGTTGAGTGATTGACATGTGTATTTTGGAGAAAGGTATATGACTGAACGCACCGAAAGTCAATTATTCGCCGTTGAATTGAACGTATAAATCTCTTTTTCACTGGCGATCCGGGAAAAGCTAGCTAGCTAGCTAGCATATGCATCACATGCATGTTCCTTCGCAATATGTAACCGAAAGCTGTCTATTAACTTTATAAATATGTCATAAATCCTAAAACTTATCAATTAAATGATGATCGTGCGGTCATCAAAGCCATACTTTCGATACGATAAACATTCCTCTTACTGCCCTTCAAATTGCATGAAGTCACATTTGGCGATTTTCTAAAACCGCACACATCCCCCTATTTGGCAATTTCCTCTTAGCTTGCTTGGGCTCAGCCCTAGCCCTCCCTAATCGGCTCAATCTCGAGCCTGAAAATGACGGATGTATCCTTAAAACTCGACGTATATGCAAAACGATCTAAATGTTCAATATAAGAGAAAATTTCAAAAAAGGGACTAAAGTGAAGTATTTTTTTCTCAAAAGAGTACCCAGAGTGGATCTTATATCAAATGAGGCCCTTAATGGCCACCTTAGTCTCAACTAAGGAGAGGTCAAGAGACAGCAAGTTCACAGGAAAGAAATTGAAGATTTTGGAGGTGATGAACGAACACGCACCGTAGCTTCATTGGTCTTCTTCAATTTGGGGCTTCTTCAAAATAGGTAAAATCAAAATATCTTGCACAAAATTGCACCTAATGTATCTACCGGAAGAAGCGCCTGAGCTGCACGTGGAAGTCAACTAGCAAATATTTGGCCGACCAATGAATTTGGGGCATAACTTGACTTAGTCAGTCACTTCAGAACTTCATATGAAGCAAAGTCCCTGGAGTCTAAGTTGGTTACTTCATAACATTATTTGAAACAAAATCCACTTTGGAAACTCTTTTGAATAAATGGTTCTACGATAATTCCTTTATTTGAAAATTTTCAATTGTATGTGAAATCCAAGACTCGGCAATGTGAAAATTACAAACACGACAATGCTAAATGAAGAAAAGAATATGTATTTTTCATATTATGATTGAGTAATTACAAGGTGTATATATACAGGAATAGAAGACCTAAATTAGGTAACAAAAACAAATCAAATATTTACAGCTAACAAATCAAATCACATAATATTCCAAATAATTAGGGAGAGATTATAGGAGATTTTCCAACACTCCCCCTCAAGTTGGTGAGTGAATATTTTCCATGCCCAACTTGCTGATAATCTCCTGAAATCTCGACACCGGTAGGCCCTTGGTCAGTACATCTGCTAGCTAATCTTTGCTAGGAGTGTAGGGAGTACTAATCAAACCAGATTCAAGCTTCTCCTTTATAAAATGCCTATCTACCTCAATGTGCTTGGTTCGATCATGCTGAACCGGATTGTGAGCAATGTTGATTGCTGATTTATTATCACAATAGAGTCTCATAGTTCCTTCGTGTTCCACTTTGAGGTCTTCAATGATAATCCTGAGCCACAAAAGTTCACATATCCCATTCGCCATTGCTCTGAATTCAGCTTCGGCGCTAGATTTAGCAACCACATTTTATTTTTTACTCCTCCAAGTGACAAGATTTCCCCCTAGAAAAGTGCAATAGCCGGATGTTGACCTTCTATCTATTGGTGACCCAGCATAATCTGCATCAGTATAGGCTTCAAGATTCAGCTTGTCACCCCTTTTAAACAAAATACCTTTTCCAGGAGTAGCTTTGAGGTAGTGAAGAATCCGGTCGACAACTTGCATATGTTCTTCTTTAGGATCATGCATGAACTAACTTACAACTCCCACAACATAGGCTATGTCTGGCCTAGTATGAGACAGATAAATAAGCCTTCCTACTAACCTTTGATATCTCCCTTTTTCAACTACGCCACTCTCTCCCTGTCCATCCATTTTATGGTTTGCATCAATAGGAGTGCTCACCGCCTTACTATTGAGACATCCTGTTTCCTCGAGAAGATCAAGTACATACTTCCTTTGGGATATAAAAATACCTTTCTTAGAGTAGGCCACCTCGATACCAAGGAAGTATCTCAACTTTCCAAGGTCTTTGATCTCGAACTGTTGAGCAAGACTGCTCTTAAGAGACTTTTGTTCAGCTTCATCATTACCAGTCACAACTATATCATCTACATACACAAGTAGAGCCGTGACCATACCTTCATTTGAATGTTTGATGAACAGAGTGTGATCCCCTCTACTCTGCTTGTAACCCATCTCGAGCATTGCCTTCGTGAACCTTCCAAACCAAGCTCTTGGGGACTGTTTGAGACCATATAGAGCCTTTCTAAGCCGACACACCCGATTGTTTCCAAAGTCCTTGTCAAAACCTGGTGGAGGCTTCATAAAGACTTCCTCCTCCAAATCCCCATGTAAAAAAGCGTTCTTCACATCAAATTGCTACAAAGACCAACCAAAATTTGCTGCAAGAGAAAGTAGCACCCGTACTGTGTTCATCTTTGCTACTGGTGCGAAGATCTCTCGATAATCCACCCCATAGGTTTGGGTGTACCCCTTTGCGACCAGCCTTGCTTTATACCTCTCCAAGGTCCCATCAGCTTTGTACTTAAGGGTATAAACCCATTTACATCCCACTGGTTGCTTGCCTTTGGGTAAAGTCACAACTTCCCATGTATCATTCTTTTTCAATGCATTCATTTCCTCCGTCATAGCTTGTATCCAATTCCTATCCTCAAAAGCTTCATGTACTGAGTTAGGAATAGTAATTGAATCAAGAGTAGTAATAAAGGCTTTGTGTTGAGTAGATAGTTTATGGTACAACACAAAATGGGAGATAGGATGTTGGGTACATTTCCTGGTAGCTTTTCTCAAGGCAATAGGTAAATCCAAATCACTTAACTCGGGTTCATTAGAAGAAGGGTGAGTGATTTCATTTCCTGATAACGGTTCGGATAACGGGACTTGATCCAGTTCCGGATTGAGCTTCGTCCTTCTTGAGTAAACTTGCAGTTTGGTTGGTTCATTCTTAGTAGAACTAGATGAGGATGATGATGAACTAGGCAGAGGACTTGACGGGGGACTAGAACTGGACAGAGAACTCGATGGACTTGATGAAGGACTAGGTGGACTAAGAGGGCTAGGACTAGATAGAGATGGGGAAGGAGATGAAGTTGGATTGAACGAAGTAGGATTGGGCGACGCACTAGGTAGTGGAGGCAGTAGTTCAAACCCACTATCTTCATTTGGAGTCTCCCCCTGAAGATGGTGGTGGGAAGGAAAAAATGATCGGTTTTCATTAAAAGTGACATCCATAGAGATAAAAACTCGACGTGTTAAAGGGTCATAGCATTTATAACCTTTTTGAGTATTAGAGTACCCAATAAAGACACACTTTAGAGCACGGGGGTCGAGTTTGTTTCGGTTGTGATTATGAGTATGCACAAAAGCAACACAGCCAAAGACTCGAGGGGGAAGGTGATATTTATGGGAAACATCAGGAAAAAAGGTAGACAGGAGCTGTAAGGGACTTTTATTTCCTAAGGTTTTGGAAGGAACCCGATTAATCAGATATGCTGAAGTTAAAACAGCTTCCCCCCAAAAATACTTTGGAACAGATATTTGAAAGAGAAGAGCCCGAGTAACATTTAGGAGGTGCCTATTTTTCCTTTGGCTACTCCGTTTTGTTGAAGGGTATCAACACAGGAAGACTCATGAATAATACCCTGAGTTTGGAAAAAATGATCAAGATATTGATTGAAATATTCCTTCCCATTATCAGACCTAAGTCTCCTAATTGACACCCCAAATTGATTGACTATCATTTTATGAAAGTTTTGAAAGATAGATTGAACATTAGATTTGTCTTTCATAAGATATAGCCATGTAGTACGAGTACAATCATCGATAAAAGAGACAAACCATCCAGCTCCTGTAAAATTAGCAATTTTAGATGGACCCCACACATCAGTATGGATAAGAGAGAATGGTGTTGAAACTCTAGCATTATTATTCAAAGGAAATGAAACACGATGATGTTTTGCAAGTTCACAAACTTCACAATGAAGATTTTCAACAGCAACATCTTTAAAAATGGAAGGAAACATAGTCCTAAGAAGACTAAACGGTGGATGTCCTAACCAAAAATGGTGAAGCCAAATATGAGATGAGTGGATAGGATTGCAAGAGTTGTTTCCTGGGTTACAAGACTTGTAAGAGGTACTATAACCCACAAGAGACCAACCAATTTTGCTCGAATTCTCAAGGTAGTAGAGCCCATTCCGTTCCTTAGCAAATCCAATCGTCCTCCCCGTTTTCAGGTCCTGCAAGATACAATGATCAATAGAGAAAAGCACCTTACAATTCAGATTTTTGGTAAGTTGATTAATGGAAAGGAGATTGGTGGACAGCTTAGGAACATGAAGGACATTGTCAAGTTTAAGTAAGGGATTTAGAGTTATGGTTCCTTGGCCAGCTACGGTAACAGGAGATCCATCTACTATGGTAATACTCCTATTTCCTGGTGATAGTTTATAAGTTTCAAATTTAGTGGGATCATGTGTCATATTGTTGGTTGCTCCTGAATCAAGAATCCATGAATTAGGGTACCGAGAAGCTGTTGAGTTTTCGAAAATTAGACACGCACCTGACTGGATTAATGAACACATATCAGAAGACTTAGATAGGGAGTCAAGGAGAGCCCTGATTTTACCAACTTCTTCTCTGTTAAATATCTCCTTACTAACAGGTTTGTATTGGTCCATAGGGGCAGCTTCACCTTCAATGGTCATGTGCGCTTGTGGCTGTCTTTTAGCTCTGCTGAGCACCTGCGTTCTTCCATGAAGCTTGAAGCAATTTTCTCTTGTATGGCGTGGTTTCTTGCAGAAATTGCACCATAAACCTTCACTGCCCATTGTCTTAATTAGATCCGGTCTCCTGTTTTTGTCAGGATTTGTTTCCTCCTTAATTGCTTTCATGGCGGATCCTTCGGTGTGTTGGTCTTCAAACATTACAGTCCGTCGGCTTTCTTCTCCTCTTACAGTAGAAAAAACTTCATTCAAGGATGGCAGCCGCTTCTTTCTGAGGATCTGAACTCGAATCTGATCAAAGTTTACATTCAGACCTGCCAAAAACTCAAAAATCCTATCTCTCTCTATATGGTTTCGGAGAGTATTAGTGTCTTCAGCACACCTCATCTCTAGATTCAGATTGTGATCTATTTCAAGCCAGAGACCTCTCATGAGATTGTAGTATTCTGTAACAGAACGATTACCTTGTTTTGTTGTTGAAGCCTTCGTCTTGAGTTCATATATTACTACTGCATCTTGAACTTTTGAATAAGACTGACGAACAGCCTCCCATATGTCCTTGGCAGTAGGGAGAAACATGTAGTTTTTGCTGAATTTGGGTTGCATTGAGCTCCACAACCATGACATAATTGAGGAATCTTCTTCGTCCCATGTCTGAAACTTGGGATCACTTTTTTCTGGACCGATGCCTTCTAGATGACTGAGCTTCCCTTTTCCTTTAAGAAACGTTCTCACAATCTGTGCCCACTGAAGATAATTTTTTCCATCCAATCGGTATTCCTTCATGTTGGGAAAATCTCCAATCGATGAGTTGGATAGATCCTGAAGAGAGGACCCAGTTTGGTTGGAGATAGCCTTCCCTGAATCTTCCATTCGGCAACTTGAAAGGACAGATTATAGTAAGAGACTAAGAAGGGATCGAGTAACAAGGGTGTTTATCACACAACTTGAAGGCCAGCAATAAGGCTGGCTCAGTCAGCAATAAGGTTGAAACAGAATGGCAGCAATAAGGCTGAAAAAAAGGGCTGCAATGAAGCAGCAGTGGTGGGAAAAGAAACAGGCAGGAAATTCATATCAGAAAACCAGGCTCTAATACCATGAAGAAAAGAATCTGTATTTTTCATATTATGATTGAGTAATTACAAGGTGTATATATACAGGAATAGAAGACCTAAATTAGGTAACAAAAACAAATCAAATATTCACAGCTAACAAATCAAATCACATAATATTCCAAATAATTAGGGAGAGATTATAGGAGATTTTCCAACACTAAACAAGATAATTTTTTATGAGCAAAAAAATAATTATGTAAATGGTTTATGAATTTTGGTTTAATGTGCAATGCAGTCCTTGAATTTTACCCTAATGTGCAATATAGTCCCTGAAATTTTAATTTGTTCAATGCGGTCCCTAAACTTTTAGTACATATTCAATTTAGTCCTTAAATTATATGAAAAATGTTCAGTGTTGTATTTCCATCAATATTGAATATTTTCAAATAGTTTATGGATTAAATTTAACATATACCAAAAAGTCCAAGGACATTGTATATTAGGCCAAAATTCTTGGATCATATTAATTAAATTAAAAGTTCATAAATTATATGACACATTAGGCGAAATTTCAATGACCATATTTCTCATGAGAAATGAACTTTGAAGAGTTCATATCCCCAAATTTTCAAGATAATTTAAGAAAAATTTTGGAAAAGAAAAATTATGTGTCAAACACCCGTGGATGTTGACAAATGTAGTTTTGCTACGTTCATCCACTAAACACAAAAAAAGAAAGGAATAATAACACAAATGATATATGAACTTTGATTTGATGCGCAATATAATATCTAAACTTTCAATTTATTTAATATGATCCTTGCATTTTTTGTATATATTCAGTTTAGTCCCGAAACTATATGAAAATATTCAATGTTCTCAATTTTCATTTTGTTCAACATGATTTTTACACTTTTGATATATGTCCAACTTAGTTCATGAATTATATGAAAATATTCAATTTGAAAGCTTAGGGATCGCATTATATATTGAGCTAAAATTTGAGAATCACATTGTAAATAAGCTTAAAGTTCACGTAACATTTGGATTATTTTCGAAAAAGGAATCTCATTCTAGAAACCCACGGAAGCGATCGCACAGTGTTTCTTGCATGTCTGACAGCGAACCATCTCTTATCGATCCCCCACTCCTGGAAGTCACTCGACTGTTCCAAGTAACACGTAGATCTCCTCCAGTCACCATCAATATCCAAAGCCAAAGAAAATCCAAGAAAAAACATTCTTCAGCAGCCACAGAAACGCTTGCCCTTCAACTTTTTCTCCAGTGATCTCTGAGCGTGCGTGGGGTCTCTTCTTCCTTGTCGCCACTCTCGTCTCTCCGTCCACCTGGAACTCTTCTCCATCTTTCTAGACCCTGCTCGGCCAATTTCCATGCAGGGCATCAGCACCCCGTTTATAAAACAATGGCTTCTCCTTCGAAGTTTCACCGCTCCCACAAGCTCCTGCAATGGCGACCCTGCTCATCAACCCGCGGTGCTCGCCGTTATTGCCTCTCAAGAAGAGCAGCGTCGGACACCCATTTGGCCAATGTGCCCGGATACCCTTTTCTCTCCCTTCCAGGCCCAGCTCCGCCGTGAGGCCGCTCAGATCGTCCGTCAAGGACGACCGCGAGAATGAACCCACCACCAGTTCTGCTTCGGTAGCCGCGGTCTCTGAAAGGCCACCAGTTCTGCACGAGGATGGAGAGGCGGAGAGGACCAGGGCGTCCGAAGAGAGCGAGGAAGAGGAGAGGGAGAGGGAGAAGCAGCAGGAGATGGACTGGAAGAGCGACGAGGAGTTCAAGAGATTCATGGGCAGTCCTTCGATCGAGGCCGCGATAAAGCTGGAGAAGAAGAGTGCCGACAGGAAGCTCAAGGAGCTGGACAGGGAGCGCAGCGACAACCCGATCGTGGGGCTACTGAATCGGATTGCGCGCGATAGTTTGGCCAGAGAGAGGGAGAGACTGGAGAAAGCTGAGGAGGCCTTCAAAGCTCTTGATCTTAACAAGGTAAGTGAATGGAAACAACTTTCGTTAACACTTGATCTCTGAAGGAGTGTTTCCCGTTCTGGCGAACAGAGCGATCTTCGCATTGCGAAGGATCAAATCCATCAAATTTTAAGCATATGTGAGGAAAGAACATGTGATTGGTTGGTTTTGTTTGGTTGACATTATTAAGGATAGAGAGATATGTGGACAGTATTGACTGTTGCAGTGGTCCTCTTAAGCAGTTTGGCCGGAGAATTGACTTTTAACTCTTGCTTCTTGTGTGTAGAATTAGAACATGTGCGTTGATTCTGGTAGTTTGTAGGATTTTTGTGTCCTTTGTGGGGAAGACTCTGTAACGCCTAACAACTGGTTATAATATTAAGTTGTATTAATCGCGTAACTAAGATGGGACTCGCCTGCCAAATTAAGGAGATGTGCGTGGATAGACTTTGCACGTGGGTATTATTCGATAGAGTTCCGATTACATGATCGGATGTCGATTAGTAAATATTTCTTTTGTAATATACAGAGTCGATTAATAGACCTGCAATAGTTGTTCTTTTTCGATGAATGTTCAGTGTAAGCAATGCCCCAACACTACCTATTCTGATGGCATAAGTCGATACTGTCTTTGGTGCATAATAATTGTTATTCACAGAACAAACGCATCTCACTGTTCAAATTTCTGTTTGGCAGTTGAGAAGCTGTTTTGGCTTTGATACGTTTTTTGCAACTGATGTTCGGAGGTTTGGAGATGGGGGCATCTTCATTGGTAATTTGAGGAGGCCCATCGATGAGGTCATTCCTAAATTGGAGAGCAAACTGTCTGAGGCAGCAGGTCGGGAGGTAGTCGTGTGGTTCATGGAGGAGAAGGCAGATGACATTACTAAACAGGTACTTCAAGAAGAGCTTCATAATGATTTACTATCTATAGGCAGCAGCACCTAATAGACTATTCAACTTTTCATTGAGCCAGAGCCTGTTATGCACCATTTCATTTAAAAGATTTTGTAACAAGATTTGTTCCTTGAATTTTTTCTAAGCCTGCTATACATCATTTTGGTTATACACTTGCCTCAATGTTGGGTATATTAGTAACTTGAGCATTAGTCGTACTGCAGTAAAGGCAAATGATCTTGCGGGACCATTGCCAAGTTGAAACATTTCCATGTCTCTGTTGATGAATTCATCTATTGTCAAAGTTGGATGTAAACTTGTGAGTAAATGCCTTTCCAGGTTCTTTGCAGTTAATCTACTTGATAAGTCACTTGGAAGAATAAATGCTGCATCCTTTTAGACAATACTATATTGTATCTGGATAAACTGTCATGTTTCCTTGTCACTGATTCAATTAATCCATGAGTAGTGTTGTAGTTTTGATGCCCATTGTCTAATCTCATAGATGTTCAATACTTCCGAGTTTTTCTGAGGTCAGACAGTATTAATGCTAATGAAAGGTCCCCATGACTCCAAGTCTCCAATGTATGTGTGTAGGCTTGTGTGGTGCAACCAAAATCAGAAATGGATCTGCAGTTTGAATCTACCAGGCTGAGCACTCCCTGGGGATATGTTAGTGCAGTAGCATTGTGCGTGACGACTTTTGGGACCATAGCTCTAATGAGCGGCTTCTTCCTCAAACCAGGTGCTACTTTTGACGATTACCTCTCAAACGTTGTCCCTCTTTTTGGCGGTTTCGTTTCCATTCTGGGAGTCTCTGAGGTATTATGCTATACCGTCTTTTACTTTGATGCTTTTCTGGACAATTTATTGTTTGCCTCAGCTATCTCTACATCTGGTCTCTTTGAGTAACTGAATGGTTTGGTGAGAGGCATGCTTGTTTTCTGGAGCTAATCATAATGAACTTAAACGATGTTGGGCTATCTAGAGCTATGCTGGTATTCGATCTTGTGAACATTTGGTTCATTAATCAAACTGAAGACTATATGGTTGCGTGCATCTTTCAGATAGCCACGAGAGTCACGGCAGCTCGATATGGTGTGAAACTGAGCCCGTCGTTCCTAGTCCCATCAAATTGGACTGGATGCTTGGGAGTCATGAATAACTACGAGTCCCTGCTACCGAATAAAAAAGCACTCTTCGACATTCCGGTGGCCCGTACGGCCAGTGCTTATTTGACATCACTAGCACTCACAGTTGCGGCATTTGTAGCCGACGGCAGCTTCAACGGCGGTGACAATGCACTGTAAGCTTTATCGAATACCATCAAACTTTTCATGTTGGAAGACTCTGGGAGTGACCTTAGTAATTATGAGCGGCATATACATCGTGAACATGCCCGTCCTCATATCTTTTGCAGATATATAAGGCCACAATTTTTCTTTAACAACCCTCTGCTTTCTTTTATCCAATTCGTCATTGGACCTTATACCGATGATCTCGGTAATGTGTTGCCCTATGCTGTGGAAGGCGTTGGTGTTCCTGTTGATCCCCTCGCTTTTGCTGGACTTCTTGGTGAGTTTTTTGCATTCACAAGCAGATTCATTGTACCTGCCTCTGTTAGACTGATTCGAAATTTCGAAGACTGTTGAGGATGAGTACTGTTCCTTGAGTCTTATGACCTTGGAATCAATCCTTCTGCTTCCACCTTGCAAGTAACCAATGCAGCAGACGCTAATGGTCAGCTTCTGCAGGAATGGTGGTGACTTCCCTAAACCTGTTGCCATGCGGAAGGCTTGAAGGAGGTCGCATTGCTCAAGCCATGTTTGGCAGAAGCACGGCCACCTTGCTATCCTTCGCCACTTCGCTTTTGCTCGGCATTGGCGGCCTCAGCGGCAGTGTCCTGTGCTTAGCCTGGGGACTCTTCGCGACCTTCTTCCGGGGTGGAGAGGAAATACCCGCAAAGGACGAGATCACTCCCTTGGGAGACGATAGGTTCGCCTGGGGGGTCGTCCTTGGCCTCGTTTGTTTCCTCACCCTCTTCCCCAACGTCGGAGGGACGTTTTCAAGCTCGTTCTTCGAGTCGCCGTTCTTCAGAAGCGAGTTTTGAAACGGAGGGTGATTGATCCAAGGGCAGTGGACTTGACGGTATAATGATTGTCACAGTGATGCTAAGAGAGACGTGTGCAGCATAATCAAATAGAAGGAAACCTATAGTAATGTTAGGTTGTGATGTGAATGAAATGGCAAGGGTAATGGCAGCTCACTGGTGTAGTTTACATCTTACTCGAGCTTAATATGAAAATTTACTGTAAAGTCCAAGTATATTATATATATAGATCAAACTTTTCTTTTTTGGACGTAAATATAGATCAAGCTGAATGGTATTGCTTTTGCGATGTTAATTCTGAGGCACCATCTTATCTTAATTTACCGAATAGTACCTCGAAACTCTTAAAATTTGTAAGCAAAGTATAATCATGTGTCGCAACTTTCAGATCGTGCAATTAAATCCTAAAATAAATAAAACTATCAAAATCATCCCGGTTAGTCAATTTTAAGATTGAGGGTCTCCTTACAAAATTTATTGAATTGCAGAAATTTCAAGATTAATCATCCATCGACAGAAATACGAACTTTTGTGACGTCGAATAAATAATTACTTTTTGTTTATTCAATGCGAATACACTTTCATTTTTGTCTCTGTTTTTCGTCCTCCGCTCCTTCATGCGGTGAGCATTTGGATCAACCTCTTCAGGTCTTGATTGCTCTTTTCCTTGTTCTCTGTTTACCAAAGAAGTTCTTGCCATTTCACAATAACAGGACTTTTTGCCATACATTTTATTGCACTCTTGAGAACGGAAAAGCAAAAGTAATGGATTTTTATTACTATTATTATTATTATTATGTCAAACCTTCGTAGTAGGAAAATCTTTATATGGTCATTCTTGAATGATTGACATATATATTCGGAGAAAATTTCCGTGACTTGTGTCGATAATTCACCGATGAATTTATAATTCATTTTGTTATTGGCAATAAAAAAAAGGTAGAGATCTTTTACACCTCATCCATCGAGATGTATTGTCCGGCTTGCACATGAGATGGGATGTCGAAGTAATGTTCTAAGGGTGAGCAAAAGAACGGGACCGAACTGATAACACGTCCGGTTCCCGATTTCTAATTGCCCCTTCTTCACTCACATCTCTCTTTCTTGCTCGTGATGCTCACTCTCAGACTCTTAGTGACATCGCTCACGACGCTCGTCGCTCACTCTCAATCGAGCCCACTCTCAGACTCTCTTTCACTAAACATTTGAAGAAAATGCGACCGATTTTCCAAGTACCTTTTCATTTCCCGCTCCTTAAAGTTTCGGCCTTTCCGGGTGTTGTGTTTTTGCCGCACATCTCTAACTGTTCTTTTTTCATTGTCCGCTTTGGTTGGTCGCATCCGGCTCATCGGGTCTTGGCCGTGGATTAGGTTTCGGGTTTTGGTTTTTTTACTTCTTTGGTAGTAAAATTATCACAGTCGGTTCCCAAGCAGCACCTAGGACTACAGGGCCAGTTTCCGGTTTTAGGATAGGAACTGGCACATCGAATAACTAATGAATCTTAATTATCCCATATCTCTTGACAACGGATCCGTCCACTTAGGTTTGACTTTTTTATGTTAACCGTGTGGTGTACTTTCGTCTTCTATGCCCTCGTCTCTCCTCGCGTTCCTCTGCATGCCATCTGCGCTCTCTTTTGCTTCCTTTCCGTTCTACTCAAGGCCGGGGCCGGCGAGCAGGCTCAGGCTTCTTCCCGTGGTGGTGTTCGGTACTACCTTTTTCCGATGGTGGCCAAGCTAGAAGAGAAGGTCCAAGCTATCCGGGCGAAGATCGAGGGCGCCGGAATCCGTCCCCTACCCTTCTCCGTGGCCGATATCAACGGTATTTCCCTGACCACCCGTACGTTCTTCAAGTACGCCAAAACCTTCACCAACATTGCCAACATGAAAGATGAGGCGCAGAGATCCCAGGTACACGCCACCGTCACAAAGGATGGCACCATCGCTGATGTCTCACATGTGTCGTTGCGTGAGTTCGTGAATCTTTGTGAGTGGCTGACGAGTGCGGCTGGCAAGGATGCCCTGCAGGCCGCGCCTTGAAGGAGGAAGTTGGCGAGGAAGCTACGTGCCTCCAGTGACCCTGTTGGGGCACGGTTGGCTCTGGCCATGTCGTATATGGCCTCCGAGTATCAGTCCGAGGCAAAGAAGGCGCACACTACGTTTGAGGCTAGGGTCTCCGATCTACGCGGGGAGACACGAGAATGAACCCACCATTTCTTCTTCAGTAGCCTTGGTCTCCGAAAGACCAGGTGGGCACGAGGATGGAGAACAACGAGAAGGCCAAGTCGTATGAAGAGAGCGAAGAAGAGGAGAGGGAGATAGAGAAGCAGCGTAGGATCAAATCCATCGAAGTTTAAGCATATAGGAGGAAAGAACATGTGGTTGGTTGGTTTTGTTTGTGATGGGTTTTCTTTGTGAATGATGGGCCGCTCATGATGGGCTAACCCAGCCCATGAAAGGAAATAACTGCACTTGGCAGTTATTATCTAGACACAAAAAGTGAGAACACACGTAAGAGTGTGTGTGGGTTTGCATTTTTTCATTATCAGAAACTTATTCTCACAAAAGGACAAAGAAGAAGGGATTTTGTTCAACGATCTAAGGATTGTTCTCTCTCTCGACGTTGCAAAAGGAACATTTAATCCGTGGAAAACAAGGTACGTCCCTCTTGGTGATGTACTTTAACGATCGGTGATTCAAGTTTATACTGGGTACGTTTTTCGTATACGATTTTTGGGCGATACTCGTTAGTTCGAGTTTTATGTCGTTTAGGAATTTGTTTCCGTCTTTCCGCATTTCTAGGAATCTGTTTCCTTCATTGGTATCAGAGCGAGTGTTCTTGTTTCCTGATCGTTGCTAGTGTGCATAACACGGAATATTGGCCGGAATTCGTGAAACGGCGCCGACGAACGCTCGGGTACGAAATACCGACACCCGACCGTACTGGTCCGCATTGTTTTTCGAAATTCCGTGCGGTAAAATTAAATTTTAAAACTGTAGGGTCGTAGTACTCGTCGAAACGAGAATTTTGATGGGTGGCACGCCGCAGGGAGGAGCCGCACGCGCCCACACGCGCCGCCGCAAGTGGCGGTCTCGCCGGCACGTGCGTGGCACGTGCGTGGCGGTTCCTCCCCGCGCGCGTGCACCGCACGCGCCATGAGGGCGTGTGCGGTGTGGCTGACGTCACGCTGACGTCAGCCATGCGGTTGCTCAACCGGGTTTTTCAGACCCGACCCGACCCGGATCCGACTTGACCCGATAGTCCACCCGACCCGTAGACTTGACCCATTGACCATTGACCGGCGTTGACCACCGTTGATCTGCGTTGACCGGCATTGACCGGCGAACAAAAAAAAAATTGTACCTTGGATTATGAGTAATCCTTTTATTTTTCTGCATTTGTTGCAGGAATAATGGTACGAAGATATCGAACCCCTATTATCCCTAGAACGGCGGCTCAAAAGAAGAAGCTTGAGAAACTAAGAATCAAGCTAGCTCTTTACCGGTGGGATGCTGATGATGACATGATGACACACATCATCAAGGTCAACCAAATGATACAAGATATCATTTGGAACGGTTTCGTAATGCCAGAGTATGTGATGGTCGGAGCCCTCAAATGTACCATTCCTGATGAGTTGGGAAGAATGATTGATAGGGTTTGGGACACCTTAGAAGGTCCGAGCTATAAGATGATTGTGGAGCAATTCATGATAGAGTACATACGGGTCGGGGCAAGATGGACGTCAACCCTTGCATTGAATCGGTCTCGGCGCAATACGTTGCCCGAATCTAGGGGTTTTCCGGGTGCCTCCATTTGGATGCCAAAGAAAATAGATCTTCCTGAGGATTTTCATAAGTCATTTCCGGTTTATAGAAAGAGGATCACCACATGATTGTGTTTATCTTTTTTTTCGTAAGCTCTTATGGATATGTTCACTATAGGTTGGTGTTAAATATCTTGGGTGGATAGTTCTTTTTATGTTGGTGTTTATGTTTATTTCCTTTGATGGATTCATTCCTTATGTACATAGTGTTAGGTAAATGAATGTTGATGGATATTCATGTTGTGAATAGTTTATAGTACTATTCTGTTTTAATATTTATCTTATTAGTATCATATGGAGCTGAGTGGGAGTTCTAAAAGTTTTAGTAACTTTAAAGAACGTAATTTTACCTTAATGATTACATTAACGGTAATTTCACATTAGTTTTTTTATGATGATTGGGAACATAGTGAACTTTCGAATCTAAAGCCTATGTGAAATTATTCATTAATATAATCAGTTTGTGTAAAATTGATGCATAAATGAGTGGCATTAATAATTCGTGCGTATATATATGAAATGTTCAGATACCATGACTTCAGCATCAAAGAATATAGTTGCTGAACTGAACAAAGGAGAGAAGTTTAACGGTGATAATTATGAAATTTGGCATATGAAAATCCAATATGTGTTGGAAGAGCAAAAGGCTCTTGAAGCTCTTAACCTGGTTATGGTAGAGCCTGAAGACGAAAACACTGCATAACATAAGAGAGATAAGGATGCATTTCTTTGTATGGAAAAGGAAGAACTCCCTTGCTCGCATCACGTTGCTGAGTAGCATGGAAAATGATGTCATGCGAGAGTTTAGGCGTTTTGAAAATGCTAAGGAGATGTAGGGAGCATTGGCAGCAAGGTTTGGTCATACATCTGTAACCAAGCTTAGACAGCTCACTATAAGATTTGACTCATATAAGAAGCCACATGGTCAGTCCATGAAACAACATTTAAGGAAAATGTCAAACATGATTAATGAGTGAAGGATGCTGGCCATGTTCGGCGATGAGCGCAAGTGCAAGCGGTGATTCGTTCTTTGCCTCAAAGTTGGGAGCATATGAAGTTGCACCTAACTCACAATGAGAACATCAAAACCTTTGAGGATGCAGTGCGCCACTTAGAGCTAGAGGAGGACCGTCTCCTGGCGGATAAGCCGGTAATTGACATTTACTATGCAGGTTCTAGCTCACAAGGGCCTTCGAGCTCTAAGCGCAAGCGTCCTGATTCGTTCAGAAGGTGGAGAGGTAAGAGAGCGAGTTCTTCGGGGAAGAAACCAAGAGATGAACAACACCAAAGAGGAAAGCGTCCTCATGAGAAAAAGATGTCAAGAGTGAAGTGCTACAACTGTAGCAAGAAAGGCCACTTTGCTCGCGATTGTCGTGAGCCAAAGAAGGTTAACTCATCTTGTATTATTGAGAACTTTGTTTATGTATCAAGTTCTATATTTCTAACTGAATCAAATCCTTTGTGGACTGTAGATTCGGGAGCAACAAACCATGTAGCGAAGGATAGAGAAGCCTTCATAGAATTCCGACGAGTTCCAACAGGAACTAAATGGATTTATGTAGGGAACAACTCCAGAGCTGAGGTTAAAGGAATTGGCACCTGCCAGTTAATTATGCGTGGTGGACGCACTTTGTTCCTACATGATGTATTATATGCTCCGGAAATTCGTCGGAACTTAGTGTCTGTTTTAGTGTTGATTCGACTTGGTTTTAATTTGAACTTCCATAACAATGGTGTAGACTTATATTTAGGTACGAGTTATTATGATTGTGGTTATTTTATAGATGGTTTTATTGTACTGGATGTTGATTCTGTAAATGTCAATGTTTGTTATTCCCACTTCACGTCTTCTACTTCGTGTGATAATGATGTGAACGTATGGCATGCTAGGCTTGGCCATATAGGCCAACAACGAATGAATAGATTAGCCAAAGAAGGCTTAATGGGCAATATTGAAAAAGTCGATTTGCCCACTTGTGAACACTGCCTAGTTGGGAAAACAATAAGGAACCATTTGGAAAAGGAACAAGAGCTGAATTTCCTTTGCAGTTAATCCATTCTGACATTTGTGGTCCAATGAATGTGAGGGCTAGACATGGGGCTGTTTATTTTATCACATTTATTGATGATTATACTCGATTCGGATATGTCTATTTGATTTCTCATAAATCTGAGGCTTTTAGTTGCTTCAAGATATTTATGAACTTAGTGGAAAATCAATTAGATAAGAAAATAAAAGCATTGAGATCCGATCGAGGTCGAGAATATCTATCTGATGAGTTCAGAAATTTGTGTGATGAAAAGGGAATAGAAAGACAGTTGTCTATTCCCTATACTCCTCAACAAAATGGTGTTGCGGAAAGGAGAAACAGAACCCTACTAGAAATGGTTAGGTCCATGATGGCGCAGGCTAACTTACCAATCACCTTTTGGGGTGACGCTTTATTAACTGCTGCCTACATACTTAACCGTGTGCTTTCTAAATCAGTTATTTCCACTCCGTATGAGTTATGGACAAGTAGAAAACCCGTTTTGAGTTTTCTGAAACCTTGGGGTTGTGCCGCTTATACACATGAATCTTCTCATAAGTATGGGAAATTAGGTCCTAGAGGTAAGAAGAGTATCTTCATAAGGTATTCGAAAACCTCAAAAGGATATGTATTTATAGGTGAGCAAGAAAGTGGGAGTATAATTGAATTTGAATCACGAGATGTCACATTCTTAGAGAATGAGTTTCCTAAGAAGGGCGAAATAGGTGAGAACTACTCACTATTTAAAACCTTGGGTCCTGATAGTGAAATCGATAAAGTTCGTCCAAGTGGAAGCAATGTGAGAAGTGAGGAATTGAATTCGACTCAATCTCAATTGCAACCTTTTGATGAGACGATTCCGTCATTATCTAATCCAAGTGGGAGCATAATGGAGAATGATATACCACGTGTACAATCTCCCATACGGCGAACAAGTCACAAAAGTATTCCCCGACAACGTTTTGACATTGAAGGGGAAACTTTCATGATCGCTCCACAAAATGAAGACGAGCCAAGGAATGTAAATGAGGCTCTAAATTGCCATAACAAAGAAAAATGGATGATTGCAATGAAAGAAGAAATGGAGTCAATAAAGTCAAACCATGTTTGGGAACTGGTTAATCTTCCAGAAGGACGCAAAGCTATTGGGAATAAATGGGTTCTCAAAATAAAACGTAAATCCGATGGCTCAATAGAAAGATATAAAGCTCGCCTAGTGGGGAAAGGGTATAATCAACAGGAAGGAATTGATTATGAAGAAACTTTCTCTCCTGTAGTGAGATTTACCTCAATTCGCCTTATTCTGGCAATAGTGACAAACATGGATCTTGAATTACATCAAATGGATGTAAAGATTGCTTTTCTAAATGGAGAATTAGAAGAAGAAATTTACATGGAGCAGCCAGTAGGCTTCATTGTGAAAGGCCAAGAACAAAAAGTATGTCGACTTCTAAGATCGATATATGGCCTTAAGCAGTCTTCGAGACAATGGTATATACGTTTTCATAATGCCATAGTGGCGTTTGATTTTACAATGATTGATGAAGATCATTGCGTGTATATCAAAAGATCCAAAGATCAATTTGTGATTTTATCATTATATGTTGATGATATACTGATTGCCGGAAGCAATATGGAGTTGGTTAATACTATTAAGAGTTGGTTATCGTCCAATTTTGAGATGAAAGATATGGGTGAGGCTGCATATATTCTTGGAGTTAAGATTTCAAGAGATCGTTCCAAGAGATTATTGTCTCTTTCGCAAGAGACTTATATAAATAAAGTTCTTGAACGATTTTGTATGCAAGACTATAAACCCATGGATACTCCTATTGCAAAAGGTGAAGGATTGAGCCATAGGTTGTGTCCTAAGACTCCACAAGAGAAGGAACAAATGAAACGTGTTCCTTATGCTAGTGCTATTGGAAGTTTAATGTACGCTATGATGTGTACAAGACCTGACATATGTTTTGCAGTTGGGATGGTAAGTAGGTACCAATCCAATCCAGGTCAAGCACATTGGAAAGCCGTAAAAAGAATCATGAGGTATCTAAAGGGTACTGCTAATTATTCACTGAGTTATCAAGGCAAGGATCTGCGACTTGAAGGCTACTCAGATGCTGATTGGGGAGGAGATTTAGATGAAAGGAAATCTACCTCTTGCTTTGTTTACTTACTAAATAATGGCGTCATATCTTGGAGCAGTAAGAAACAAACATGTATAGCATTGTCCACGATGGAAGCTGAGTTCGTGGCGTTGTCAGGAGCAGTACAAGAAGGTGTTTGGCTTAAGAGATTTTTGGATCATTTAGGTGTTGCTAAGAATGCTGAAAACTCATTGTTAGTCAATAGTGATAGTCAAGCAGTGATAGCATACACCAAGGATCCGAAATATCATGGCAAGACCAAACATATAGATACCAAGTATAACTTTGTCAAGGATATGGTTGCACGAAAAGATGTGAACTTGCAGTACATATCTACGCAAAAAATGATAGCTGATCCTATGACGAAGCCAATTCCAAGAGATGTTTTCTATGGTCATGTAAAATCTCTGGGACTGCGTAGAAAGTGATGTACTGAATATTGTATTTTTCCCTGAGTGTTCACATTTAATGAAGTTGCTCTCTCATTATTAATGCCTATGAATTTATTTAATATTTATGCATCTCAATGCTTAGTGCATTATATCGAGAAAGTATGTCTGACAGATGAGATTAGCCCACTTACACGGGTAATCGCCTTTATTTACTGTGCGATAAATAGAGATGAGATAATTTTTTTTTAAGCTTATAATCTGGGTGATAATTGAGAGCTCAAGCTTAAATTACAAATGTCGCCTTAACTGAATATTAAGATGAGGATATAATATTTACTATGTCCGAAGGTAAAATAACCCACATATTTTACTTTATCTGTCAATGATGCCAGATGTGAGTTCTGATGAATTCTTTAAAAGAGCAGATACGTGAACTCAAGTCTAGATATTAAGTATATCTAAACTATCATCTGTACGGCATTAAGTATAAAGACATGCGCTCCTAGGGGAAGGAGAGAATGCCGTAATACGTATTTCATACTACGTATGCATAAGACGACCTATAAGAGTGGCAAAAGTTTTTGATCTCAACTTTATGCAGTGTGAGACTCTTGAGGATAAGAGTTCCTCATTAAATGCCCTCGCGACTCTAACTTATTCTCAAAATTTCTATTCAGTGTTCGCTATCTTAGGGTGTTGCCAATGGTCATGAATAATTCGATCTAATGGGGCATTTCTAGAAAAGCGAATTGAACTGAAATGGAGAGGATTAAGGAAAGGGGAAGATCAATTTATTTGTGATGTCATATTTTTTTTTGTATTCACAGGTCGACCAATTATGATTTTGAGTAAATCATAGTTGTGAATACAATATACGAGATACTAAAAGAGATCAAGAGAGATATAAATGTGACTGATTGATCTAGGGTATTGCATACTATATCTACTCGATAACGTAATGCCCAATTTGAGCTGCTATGTGTTCCTAACAGATGCATAGCAACGAGCTCTCGAAGTATGCTGGTCGCACGGATTATTTGTTGATATGAACATTGCATAAAAGAGAGAGTTAATGTTTAGCCCACCATGTGCGAGTGGGAGATGATGGGTTTTCTTTGTGAATGATGGGCCGCTCATGATGGGCTAACCCAGCCCATGAAAGGAAATAACTGCACTTGGCAGTTATTGTCTAGACACAAAAAGTGAGAACACACGTAAGAGTGTGTGTGGGTTTGCATTTTTTCATTATCAGAAACTTATTCTCACAAAAGGACAAAGAAGAAGGGATTTTGTTCAACGATCTAAGGATTGTTCTCTCTCTCGACGTTGCAAAAGGAATATTTAATCCGTGGAAAACAAGGTACGTCCCTCTTGGTGATGTACTTTAACGATCGGTGATTCAAGTTTATACTGGGTACGTTTTTCGTATACGATTTTTGGGCGATACTCGTTAGTTCGAGTTTTATGTCGTTTAGGAATTTGTTTCCGTCTTTCCGCATTTCTAGGAATATGTTTCCTTCAGTTTGGTTGACATTATTAAGGATAGAGAGATATGTGGACAGTATTGACTGCTGCAGTGGTCTTCTTACTCAGTTTGGCCTGAGAATAGAGTTTTAACTCTTGCTTCTTGTGTGTAGAAGTAGAAGATGTACGTTAGTTCTGTTAGTTTTTGTAGGGTTTTTGTGTACTTTGAGGGGAAGACTCTGTAACACTTAACAACCGGTTCTAATATAAAGTGGTATTAATCGCGTAACTAAGATGGGTCTCGCCTGCCAACTTAAGTAGATGCATGTGGATAGACATTGTACGTGGGTATGATTCAATAGAGTTCTGATTACAGGATCGGATGTCGATCAGCGAAAATTTCTTTTGTAATATATAGAGGTTATCAATGAACCTGCAATAGTTGTTCTTTCTCAATGAATGTTCAGTGGAAGCAATGCCCTAACACTACCTATTCTGACGGCATAAGTCGATACCGTCTTTGACGCATAATTATTGTTATTCTCAGAACAAATGCATCTCACTGTTCAAATTTATGTTTGGTAGTTGAGAAGCTGTTTTGGCTTCGATGCTTTTTTTGCAACTGATGTTCGGAGGTTCGGAGATGGGGGCATCTTCACTGCTAATTTGAGGAGGCCCATCGAAGAGGTCATTCCTAAATTGGAGAGCAAACCGTCTGAGGCAGCAGGTCGGGAGGTAGTCGTATGGTTCACGGAGGAGAAGGCAGACGACATTACTAAACAGGTACTTCAATAAGAGCTTCGTGATGATTTACTATCTATAGGGTAGCAGCACCTAATAGACTAATCAAATTTTCATTGGGCCAGAGGGTGTTATACACCATCCGCTTGAAAGATTTCATACATGATTTCTTCCACGAACTTCTTTTGGAGCCTGTTATACATCAATTTGGTTATATACTTGCCTCAATGTAGGGAGAATTGTAACTTGACCATTAGTCGTACTGCAATAAAGGCAAATGATCTTGTGAGACCATTGCCAAGTTGAAACATGTCCATTTCCCTGTTGGTGAATTCATCTGTTGTCAAACTCGGATGCTAACCTGTAAGTAAATGCCTTTCTTGGTTCTTTACAGTTGATCTGCCCAATAAGTCACTTGGAAGAATAAATGCCAAATCCCCTTAGACGTTACTAGTTTGTATCTCGATAAACGGTCGTGTTCTCTTGTCGCTGTTTCAATTTCTCCACGAGTAGTGTCTTAGTTTTGATGCCTGTTGTTTAATCTGATAGATGCTCAATCCTTCTGAGTTTTACTGAGGTCTTACAGTGTTACTGTTATTGAAAGGTCCCTGTGACTCCAATATTTGTGTGTAGGCTTGTGTGGTGCAACCAAAATCAGAAATGGATTTGCAGCTTGAATCTACCAGGCTGAGCACTCCCGGGGGATACGCTAGCGCAGTAGCATTGCGTGTGACGACTTTTGGGACCATAGCTCTAATGAGCGGCTTCTTCCTAAGACCAGATGCTACTTTTGACGATTACCTCTCAGACGTCGTTCCTCTTTTTGGCGGTTTCATTTCCATTCTAGGAGTCTCTGAGGTATGCTATACTGTCTTTTACTTCAATGCTTTTCTGGACAATATGTTGTTTGCCTCAATTATCTATACGTTTGGTCTCTTTGAGTAACCGAATGGTTTGGTGAGAGGCATGCTTGTTCTCTGGAGCTAAGTATAAGGAATTTAAATGATGCTGGCCATCTAGCTGTGCCATTATTCCTTCTTGTGAACGTTTGGTTCCTTAATCAAACTGAAGACTACATCGATATGTGCATCTCAGATAGCCACGAGAGTCACGGCAGCTCGATAAGGTGTGAAACTGAGCCCGTTGTTTCTAGTCCCATCAAATTGGACAGGATGCTTGGGAGTCGTTAATAACTACGAGTCCCTGCTACCGAATAAAAAAGCACTCTTCAACATTCTGGTGGCCCGTCCAGCCAGCGCTTATATGACGTCACTAGCGCTCACAATCGCGGCATTTGTGGCTGACGGCAGCTTCAACGGGGGCGACAATGCACTGTAAGCTTTATCGAATACTGTTGAACTTTTCGTGTTGGAACACTCTGGCAGTGACCTTAGTAAGTTCTCTTATCCTTTGCAGATATGTAAGGCCACAATTTTTCTTTAACAGCCCGTTGCTTTCTTTTATCCAATTCGTCATTGGACCTTATACCGATGATCTCGGTAATGTGTTGTCCTAAACCGTGGAAGGTGTCGGTGTTCCTGTTGATCCCCTCGCTTTTGCTGGACTTCTCGATGAGTTTTTGTGCGCTCAGAAGTTGATTCATTGCAACTTTCTCTGTTAGTTTTCTTTATTCTTTCTTCTCCTTTCTATTGCATTGTGCTATATCGTCTATGTAGAACGGGCATGCACTACATATGATTCGGACAGATTCGAAATTACGAAGATTTAGTAGGATGAGTACTGTTCTTCGAGTCTTTTGACCCTTCTGCTTCCACCTTGCAAGTAAGCAATGCAGCAGACGCTAACTCAAAAAGCTTCTGCAGGAATGGTGGGGACTTCCCTAAACCTGTTGCCATGCGGAAGGCTCGAAGGAGGCCGCATTGCCCAAGCCATGTTCGGCATAAGCACGGCCACCTTGCTATCCTTTGCCACTTCGCTTTACTCGGCATCGGCGGTCTCAGCGGCAGTGTCCTATGGTTGGCCTGGGGGACTATTCGCCACCTTCTTCCGGGGCGGAGAGGAAATGCCCTCGAAGGACGAGATCACGCCCTTGCGAGACGATAGGTTCGCCTGGGGTGTCCTCCTCGGCCTCATCTGTTTCGTCACCCTCTTCCCCAACGTTGAAGGGACGTTTTCGAGCCCGTTCTTCGAGTCGCTGCTCTTCGGAAGCGACTTTTGAAGCGGCAGGTGATACTAAGAGAGACGCTTGCAGGATCATCACATAGGAAACCTATAGTGTTGTGTAGGATTGCGATGTGAATGAAATGGTAAAGAGTAATGGCGGTTCACTGATAATTGTACAGTTTATCTTCTATACGAAATGTTGCAGTTTGTGCAAGCAGAGTCTATCAACAATTTTTTTTTGGATTAATTGGATTATGAAGTTCATTGTTCGAGCTTGACTCAATTAGATTTCCGAACCCATCAACACATTCAATTGAACTCACAATTTCTAAAAAATTTCAGCCAATGAGTTATGGGCTAACTATGATAATATTAATTGCTCACACAAATTCTTTGATGTGAGACTTTTTAACATAATTCACATGTGTAACTCAACAATATGCCCCTCATGTGTGAATTCAGTGTTAGATGTGCTCCCTTTAATTCAGGTATTTTTCTGCATTAAGTTATCTTTCCAACGCCAACCTTCGTGTGCATAGTCTTTTTTCAAGGCCGAACCATGAGGTTGCCATCGGAACTTGTCACAACGCCCACATGCCTGGCAGCCGCCTTGGTCACCAAATTCTTTTATTGGGATATTCACCAAACACATCATAGTTGGCAAATTACTTATTAATTTAAACTTTAGAGTGAAAGTGGGCAATTGGATATATTGACGAGCTCGGACTTACGCTCCCTCTTGGCGACAACGGATTTCTGTTGCACATTAAAAACTATTTAATCACATCGGTCTGTTAGTTTTACGACCGAGGATCTCTTTACAAATACCATCAATTTGCAAATATGTCAAGGTTAATTGTTGAATAATACTAACAATATGTGCATTTAATAAACAATATACGTTAATTTTACCTTTTGGTTAATCTAAATCTTGCTTTGGATATACTTTTATCTTTTCCTCAACTCAAAGCACCCGATACTTTTCCTAATAATATTTTTAAAGTTAGATGATATGTACAAATTTGACACGAAAACAAAGAAAAAGTTATCTTTTCCCTTTTTAACAATACCAAAAGAAAGATTGCATGACAAGTAATGAAACTTGTCGATTTCGTGCTCTTCAATTCTAAACTTTTTTTTCTCTGACCAAAAAAAAAAATTCTAAAATTTTTTCTACCAAAAAAAAATCTAAAATTTTAATATATATATTTTAAATCGTAAAAAAAAAATTACAAATTTCAAGCTTAATACAGTTGTAAAAGTTGATGTACGAATTGATAAATTTTAAGATTTGCCGACCAAAACTACCAGTTTGCGTCATGCTTCTACTTCTTCCGGACGGTTGGACTTTTCTGTTGCCGTCGCCTTCTTCTTCTTCTTCTTCTTCTTGCAAGAATCACCTGAAGATGCCGCCGCCTCCATGAACGCAGCAGCGCCCGAGCCATGTTGAAGCTCCACCAGCTTCAGCTCGCCACAACCCCTCACCGCCGCCCCGTCCCTCGCCGACCCATTACCGCCGGCAGCTCCCCGATCACGCCGCATCAGCCATTGCCGCCCAATCCCTCCCTCCGCTCCCCACCTGGCGCCCGCCTCCGCGCTTCCCGGCGCGTCTCCGATTTCCCTCAGGTCCTCCGCCGGCGACACTCTTCGCGTGATCGTGATCTTCGCAAGTCTTGGTCTTGTTTCGATTGCTGTCGACTGATGGTGCTTGTTCGTGCAGGGGGGTGGCGGCGGGAGTTTGGTGGGTGGCGCCGCCGCCTCCAGGAACTGGAGCCGGGCCATCGACTCGGTGTACGGCGGCGGCCGGGAGGACGACGACGGCGGCGAGGACGGCAGCGATGAGGATGAGGATCGGAGCTTGGACCTGTTGGTTAGGTTTGTTCAGAACGTGTTCAGGAAGACCTCCAGGAGGGCGAGGAAGGCCGTGCGGTCGGTTCTGCCCGTTTCGATCTCGACCCAATTGGTGAGCCGTAATTTCCGGTTCTTCTTAAAATGGGTTACCGAGGATTTTTCCTGTGGATTGGGAATTGGTTCGCTAACGTTTTGCAATGTCTTGAGCTGCTCTCTTTGTGTTCGTCCCAATGTCCGTGGCTCATTGTGTTGATCTGTTGATGATTCGCTTCATGTTGATTCGCACTTTGTCTAGAAGTACGAGGTGGTTTAAACCGCTGTTGAGTGATTGTACACTGTCGATAGGTTCAAATGGTTGTGTAGGTCAGCTGGCTCATGTTAACCTTCTGTCTGCTGTTCCTCAATTGTAGTCCCTTTCTATTAGTGAATTTGTCCATGTCAACTGCTGATGTTAGAAGGCTTGAATTGGATGTATCATGTGTCTCAAGGTAAAGTGTCTCTTTTTGCTGTTCGAATCTTTGACCTATGGAGAAGAGGACTCATGCTATCCAAGGAAAAAGCTAATGTTGCAGTTCCTTGGGGGTGGATAATCATCATTTGAGTTTCCCTACATCACTTTTCCAATCATTGTTGTCTTTGGATGGTTACTGATTAGTCAGTGAATCATTCCTTTCCAATTTGCAGGTCAGCTTTTCCGTGAATGGAATCCTGATTTTGGCATTTCTGTGGGTCTTGAAGGCATTTCTGGAGGTAAGTTAAGATTTCCAGTGTCTCCAATTTCATGTTTCCATATCATTTTGAGTGGGTTTAGTGACATGCTGTCTGTACAAGTAGCCATAGTTTGAATAAAGAACATCACTTTGGCACTTGAGATGGATTCAGCCTGCTTCCGAGCATGTTTACTCAGTTTGAGCCCATGTTGTAGTAGCAAATATGTGATGGCAGGGTATAACTTCATCGTTATCTTGACTCATCAATCTTCTTTGCTTAATCTTCTTTGTTCCGCTTGTTTGCCATCTGGCTCAATCCTTGCCTTGTGAATGCTCCTAGAATGTTTTACTTTTCAACTGATTTACCAGTTTTGTGTGCACCCATGCCCACCCCCGACCGAAACCACCAAAATAAATAAATAAAGAGAAAGAAAAGGAAAATGGATAGAATTTATACGGTCATTGTGAACTCTTGTTATAATGAACATGCAAAGACCAGGCAAATTTACAATGAATGCCTCCAAAGTGTTTAAAGTGCTACATTGTCCATTGCAAGCTAACAATTATATGGTACTTTGTCGCTTTTTTAGTGGGAACATGAGAATTTGGGAGCCATAGTAGCTTCTTCTTATACTGCCAGAGATCCCTGGCTTTTCCTCAGCTTATTGAATTCCTGTAAGAGACACTATCCCAAAGAACCTTTTAACTTTTCTGGCCAAAAAGCCCTGCTCGTGTCTGCTTGAACTTTGATGGCCACAGTACTTGGCGAATGCTTTTTCCCAAGATGCCTAAATTGGGATGACGATCTAGTTGTCACATCACATTGGGGATCACAATGGAATGCTCTGATTATTTGGACTGTTGTCTACTCTATTTTGAAATCAAAGTCTTAAATTAAAAGAAAGTCGTATGTTTTTCAAAAGTGCAACTGATATTATCCTACTAGTTGTGTGTACTTCACAATATTATCGTAAAACGGGCAATAATTCTCTCTTATTGTAAATTGAGAAATGTATGAATCTAAGCAATTGAAGAAAATACCTTATGAAAGAAGCGAAGTGATACTGAACGGTTAAGTGAGGGGGAAACAAGATCGATTCTACGGAATCTCACTTGACTATAAATGCTGGTGCACTCAAATGGCGAAGGACTATCAGGCTTTTTTATCATCAGAAAGAGGACTATAGGATAATTTTGACAATCATTTAAAAGGGATTTTTCCATGCAGTTGTTTAACCTAATTAAGAAGTCTAGTTTCTAGCCCTCTGGTATCATGAACTTTGCAAATCTAGCACCAGAAAATCGTAATCATTGACAATACCTTTTAGACTTGTATAGATATTCAAGTTGGAAATACTGATGGTTCTTTGGTGCTTTCTACGAATATTTATCAACAAAATACTGCAGAAAATTTCACTCTTCGATGCACTTTGGATTTGAACATAGCTTTCCAGATGTGTCTTTGTTGCTTAATACTTGTTTAACCAGAGTATTCTGCGAAAGCACTGCTCTTATGTCGAAAAAATGATGAGATATGCCGCATTCTCTTTTATATTGCATACAACGATTAGAAGAGTACTACAAATAACATGAATTTCAATTCATACATAGTCTACTATATGCAGAGGGTCATTATTCTTCCTCAATTGGGCTTCATGCTTTGTCTTTAATATGATTACTTCTTTAACTTTTTCTGGTATGTATTCCTGCGTACCAAGAATTCCCTGTAGTTGTGAGATGAATTTTTGCTTGTAATCAATTTGGAATGATGCTCAGTGCAAACCATATATTTTGGCCTTTTCTGTTTCTAATCGTTTTACTTCTTCAATAATTGTGTCTTCACCTTTTGATCAATCAATTTGACTTCTGGGATGCATCTTTCTCTATCATCAATTGCAGAAATACATGCCAAAGGAATAGTGCCTGATTGATTGTGTTGTTTGTTTATACATTATTTCTGGGAACTCATTAATTAGTAGCTTGGACTTGAAGTACTTAAATGAAAGAGTTTTGTCACAGCATGTTTTTCAAAATGATATATAGGTCAGTGATTGGTATGGATCTATGCTTTAAGAAGCATTTTACTATCATGTAACTTCTGCTTGATTTGATGAACATCAGTTGCATGTCTAGACTTCGAAGCATTTTATTTAACAATCGCAGGAAGTGCCTTCGTGCCTCTAATAGAGAGTATACAGTTGATAAATGTTGAGCTGAACTGTTCTTTGTTGATTTTTAATGCAAGAAAGTTGCCATCTTGAATAATTTGATAAGGTTGGATATTGTCCCCAAAAATCTGTTGGAAAGCAAAAGCGTTCCTAGGATTTCTGATGTCAATTTGAAGGCTTTCTTCTCGTTGCGTAGACTAGATTTGTTTTTATCAGGTTAGTTGGCACTGGGGCTTGGTTTTACTGTACTGCTCCTACAGCATATATGTCCTTTTCCCCCAGCTTTTGGCCAAATGCTGCTGTTTTTCTCTTTTTTTTCTGAGGATTGTGATTGTACTTCTGCCTACATTGGGTCTTTCAAAATTTGCGCCCTAATATCTGTGTGCTTTTATCAGGTTGTATGTACCCTTGGAAGCGTTGTGTTTGTTAGCATCTTGCTGATCCGTGCAGTGTGGTCTGGGGTTACTTACATGCAAGAAAACAGAAGTTATAAGATGAATGAAGCTGATGACGATCATCGTGCATGGACCGGGGCGCAGCCAGTTACGTAGTTCTTGTGCACCCAACCGAACTGGAAATTGTGCGGGAAGGATCGAGAAGGCAATAGCATCATCCTTCCCAAGAGCAAATTCATAGATTACCATCGATTATTCTCGTGCCAATTCATTTCTCAGCAGCTATGCGTCCTTGCATACGGTTACTAGGGGACGTGTATTTCTCAGCAGCTATGCGTCGTATAATCCCCTGCTTGTGTCAATCGGGATGAAAGGCGGCATGTGTATTTGCATGTCGGAACGGTCCTTCTCCGATTCTTGTCTGCTGAGAATAAGAGGTAAAGAATACCTCTCTTGGTTAGACTTAAGGTACATGCCCCATTTTTTTGTGACCCTGTACTAGCTGCTCCTTTTTATTTTTCTTTATATTGTACTGAGCTTAGTTTAAGATTACAGGATATCTTCAACGGCTTACCTACTTTTGAATATTGGTAATAAATGAAGGACCACATGAGGTGTCTTTGTTTTGGTCATGTCGAAAAGGAAGGAAGGAGAGGCAGAGTGAGGAGTTGATTGGGCCTCGCTTAGCAATGAAGTTGAACCATGTTGACATGACATGTTGGTGTAGCGCCCTAGCGGGCCGGTGCATTATCGATGCGACGTGACAGAATTAATCATTTTATCCTTGTGAGATGCTTGTCATAGCGTTAAAATTTTTAAATCATCATATTTATTGGCTTGTTAAACTGCACATCTTTGTCATGTGGTATAATTCTCATATGAAATTGCATGGACAAATGATCCTTTAACAAGTTAAATGATAAGAGATTATTTTCGAACAAGCTTTTTAGGCCGTGTCAATATCGAAGTGAGAACTTGTCTTAATCCTATCGTGTCCTTTACCCATTAAGAAGTTGTGGGGATTGGGGAGCTTGGTAAACCGTCATATTCACGTTCATTAGCAATTATTGGATCGAAAGTGAACTTTCATCGAACTTTTTCAACAACTTTACCGTATTTAATTTCTTGGCAAGATGAACAAACCCCGCGAGCAGACCTATCCGGTGGGGCAGGCGCGGGCAGGCTCGGACCGAGCCTGCTCGGGCCCGAACTTCCCGGGATCCCGCCAAGGGCCCGCCCGTGGGGGGACAAAAAAAAGCACCACGGAGCATGCCAAAGCCGCCCATCGGCACCGTTCTCTTTCTCTTCTACATTTGAAATTTGGGTGTCATGCCATGCTATCAGCATTTACGAAATTATTAAAATTCCAAAGTTAAAAATTTATCCACAAAAACGAATTCAAAAACCTTCCCGAATAATCACATTCCGGGCCGGGCCGGGCCGGCCCGGGCCCAAAACCCTTGCCCTTGCACCGGCTCCGGCCCGGCCCGGCCCGCCCACCGAGTGGGACCCGCGAGCACGTGACCAACCCCGAGAATCCGGCACAAAGCGGCAAAGATTCAAAAATTTAAAAATTCAAAAAGAAACAAACGAAGAAAAAGAGCAAAAGAGACGTTCGAGCTAACCGCGGTTAAGCCACGTGGGCCCCCCCAACCCCAACGGACACAGCCCCGCCTCCCCCCAATCTCGGCCGCCCAACCTAACCAGCCGTACCAAACCAACCATGGTTAACTTAACTCCACCCCCCCACCCTTCCTGTCTCTCTCTCTCTCCTCTATATATCGAGCCCTTCTCAGCGCGACGGAGATCACGTACCCCGTTTCGTTTTCGGCTGAGCGAAAGAGAGATTTCCTCTAAAGAAGGCGTCTTCATAAACGCCTTCGACCTTCCGTGCTTCCCCCTCCTCTCCCCCCTTCCCCTCCGCCTTCGTCGTCCGATTCCCGGCCCATTCTCGATCCCTTCCTCCCGGCGAAGATGAGGGAGTGCATCTCGATCCACATCGGTCAGGCCGGCATCCAGGTCGGGAACGCCTGCTGGGAGCTCTACTGCCTCGAGCACGGCATCCAGGTTCGTTCGTCCCTTCGTTCGTTCGTTCCTCCCTCCTCCGCCCGTCGATCTCCGTGCGTTTCTCGGTAATGTCGATGTGTGGATCCGGGTTCAGTTTTCGTCTCGACTCGTTGGATCTGTGAGGTTTCGGGGGGGTGATTCGAGGTTGCATGGCGTCGGATCTGGATGTACCGTTAGATCCGCGCGTTTCGCTGTCGGAGTGTTCGGAAATGGTGTAGCAATGTGGATGGATTTGGTCGCGATCTCCGTGTGTTTCTCGATAATGTCGATGTGGATCCGAGTTCAGTTTTCGTCTTGACTCGTTGGATCTGTGAGCTTTCGGGGGTGATTCGAGGTTGCATGGCGTCGGAGCTGGATGTAGGTCGTTCAGGCGCGCGCGGGGACCGTTGGATCCGCGCGTTTCGCTGTCGGAGTGATCGGAAATGGTGGTGCAATGTAGATGGATTTGGTCGCGATCTCCGTGTGTTTCTCGATAATGTCGATGTGGATCCGAGTTCAGTTTTTCGTCTCGACTCGTTGGATCTGTGACGTTTCGGGGGGGTGATTCGAGGTTGCATGGCGTCGGATCTGGATGTAGGTCGTTCTGGCGCTCGGGGATCGTTAGATCCGTGCGTTTCGCTGCCGGAGTGTTCCAAAATGGTGTGGCAATGTGGATTGATTTGGTCGCGATCTCCGTGTGTTTCTCGATAGTGTCGGTGTGGATCGGAGTTCAGTTTTCGTCTTGATTCGTTGGATCTGTGAGGTTTCGAGGGGTGATTCGAGGTTTAGTGGCGTCGGATCTGGATCTAGGTCGTTATGGCGCGCGTGGGGACCGTTAGATCCGCGCGTTTCGCTGTCGGAGTGTTCTGAAATGGTGTGCAATGTGGATGGATTTGGTCGCGATCTGCCCTGGATCGGGTTTAGTTAGGATTCGAGGGTAGAGTTAATGTCATTTGATGTGTGTCATGTGCGATTTGATCGGATCTGCTGTTTATGAATCGGCAGATCTGATTTTCCCGAGGTTGTTCTGCCTGATCTGACGTATCGTTTTTGTTCAAGCTTGAATCGTGCGTGAATTCGAGGTAAACTGTACGGATCTGCTTCTGTATGTTGCATTCGCGGAGTAGTAGGATCTTATGTATCATTTGATTGGGACTAGTATTCAGAAACATCCGGCGGTGAATCGGTTTAGTGAGAGCGGAGTTTGGCTTCGATGATGAAAATTTAAACATGTAATTTTGAAGTGCGTGTAAGATTCCACTGTTGCAAATGCTGAATATCTGCGTTTTTTTTCCTGTTCTGCAGCCTGATGGCCAGATGCCGAGTGACAAGACTGTTGGCGGAGGTGATGATGCCTTCAACACCTTTTTCAGCGAAACTGGTGCTGGGAAGCACGTTCCCCGTGCCGTCTTTGTAGATCTTGAGCCCACCGTCATCGACGAGGTCAGGACCGGAACCTACCGCCAGCTCTTCCACCCTGAGCAGCTCATCAGTGGCAAGGAAGATGCTGCCAACAACTTTGCTCGCGGCCACTACACAAGTAATTTTGCTCTGTTCTGTCATTAACATCGGTAGTACATTGGCTTGTTCGTCACGGTGTAATTTAAATTAATGTGTTTATTTCTCTGTTACAGTTGGGAAGGAAATTGTCGATCTCTGCTTGGACCGCATCCGAAAGCTTGCTGACAACTGCACCGGTCTTCAAGGGTTCCTTGTGTTCAACGCTGTTGGTGGAGGCACTGGTTCTGGGCTTGGTTCCCTTTTGCTGGAGCGCCTGTCTGTTGATTACGGCAAGAAATCCAAGTTGGGTTTCACCGTCTACCCATCTCCACAGGTGTCCACATCTGTTGTGGAGCCCTACAACAGTGTCCTGTCGACCCACTCCCTTCTGGAGCACACCGATGTTGCTGTGCTTCTGGACAACGAGGCCATTTACGATATCTGCAGGCGCTCCCTTGACATCGAGCGTCCCACATACACCAACCTGAACCGTCTTGTTTCTCAGGTATATCTACAATCACCATAAAAGTTCAGACTTTTGTCGATATTCAGCTCTAGAAGTAATGAACGACGTGATTTTGATATCTGAATTCAGGTGATTTCCTCCTTGACTGCCTCCCTGAGGTTTGATGGTGCTCTGAACGTGGATGTGACTGAGTTCCAGACCAACTTGGTCCCATACCCCAGAATCCACTTCATGCTTTCATCGTATGCACCCGTCATCTCAGCAGAGAAGGCCTACCATGAGCAACTTTCAGTGGCTGAGATTACCAACAGCGCATTCGAGCCATCCTCCATGATGGCCAAGTGTGATCCTCGCCACGGGAAATACATGGCATGCTGCCTCATGTACCGTGGTGACGTGGTGCCCAAGGATGTGAACGCGGCTGTTGCAACCATCAAGACCAAGCGCACCATCCAGTTCGTGGACTGGTGCCCTACTGGATTCAAGTGCGGTATCAACTACCAGCCACCCACCGTTGTCCCTGGAGGCGACCTTGCCAAGGTCCAGAGGGCCGTGTGCATGATCTCCAACTCGACCAGCGTTGCCGAGGTCTTCTCGCGCATTGACCACAAGTTCGATCTGATGTATGCCAAGCGTGCTTTTGTGCACTGGTACGTCGGTGAGGGCATGGAGGAAGGAGAGTTCTCTGAGGCTCGGGAGGATCTCGCCGCCCTTGAGAAGGATTACGAGGAGGTCGGCGCGGAGTTGGCCGAGGGTGAGGATGATGAGGGTGACGAGTATTAGGGTTGTGTCTGCGCCATGATCTCTATTGGCTGTTGATGATGTTGGGTTCCTGTGTGTTTTCCAGAACTGTGGCTTTAAAGACTCTTGCGTGTTCTGTTATTACTATGAAGTGAAACTGGTGATTCGAGTATGCTGCTTTATGATTCCTTTAAATTCTGGTTCTTCGTTGATATTCTATGTGTCCGAGGAGTATATATTCTTCATAAAATTATGTTGTTCCTCAGCTAAATCACAAAAATAAAACATTTCAAATTCAATTAGTAAGCCTTTGCCAAGAATATACGCCGATATAATTCTGGAACAGCAAACTTTTTTGCAAGATATCACAATGGAAAACAAACCAAAATTAATTATGTTTTTAATTATTGGGCTTGGGTCCGAGCAAATTGGACTAGTGCGCTGCTCTAATGGGTGGATGGGCTCGGGCGTGGATCGACATTTCCAGGGTCAAATTAATGGATGGACGGGCTTTTCCTTTTGTGCCTTTTCTTTTATAAGAATTTTTTTTTATTTGTACACATAATTTTCTCTTGGGAAAATTTCAAAAATGGGCTTGAAGTTGAGTCATTTTCTCAAATAAAAGCATAAAGTGCCATCATTTTTTCAAATAAGGGTTTGAAGTGGTATATTAGTTTTAAATAAGAACCTAATCTCACCGGTCAAAGGGTATTTTTGTATTTTACTTTTTGAATTCTTTTCTTCTTTCTTTTTTTCCTTTTTCTGTTTTTTTTCTTTTTTTCCAATGATGCTGGGAAAGAAAGAAGAAAAAAGGAAAAGGAAAAAAGAAAAAGGAAAATAAAACGAAAGTAAAAAAAAATATACTTATAAATTTTTTTTTAAAATACACCGTTTTTTACAATACTTTGTTCTTATTTGAGAAATTTGATCCTTTTGAAATTTTTCTTTTTCTTTGACTATCATTTACATCCTTTTTTATAATTTTTTTTACAAAAAATCATATTAATTTGTCAGCAAAAAAATTCAGGTGTCAACATGACATGAGAAGTGTAAATATGTTGAGAAAGGGGGCAACGTTAATTGTAAATATTGAATCAAATCCTGTGATTTAGAGGTAATTTGATAAGTTAACATAAAAAATCATGTTTTAGCCAAAAATAGTGTGGAAATAGCACCGCCCTAAAAGAAATGGGATGGTTTTTCTCTTGAAATTGATTTTTGGTAAATTCCAGTAAAAATTTACAAGTGGATTGTGATGTTGTGAGTCTGGAAATCTCTCCTAAAACATGATCTTATGCCAGATAAATTTATCTAAACAGGTCAAATACTTATTAATTTGGACAGCCATTTAAGTTAAAGCCCATTTAAACTTTCCATGGTCAACTACCTATCAATTTTCCTAGAGCAATTACATGAATTTATTTACCATGAATTCTTATTGAATTTAATGTTGCCTTGGTGTAATAAGATGGTATTAATAGGAAAAGATATCATAACCCATGAATCTCCACTCTATCACATGAAGTAATGACAAAGAAAACAAGCCAAACTTAACTTTGTATAGATAAACCCTATGTACAAAGTCTTCATCTCATCTTAGGCTATAAAAATAAAAATATCGGAAAGTAGCAAAGTTTTTCTTGCGTACTTGGATTAATTGTTGTCCCATCTGTCGGTTAGTATTACTAAGCGGCTCGATAAGACCCCATACCTAGAGCTAACGTCACATAACACAATTGAAACATTGTAGAGTAAGTTAAACCTCGTTTAATATATCTTTTTAAGCAAGAGCTTAAATAGCTCCTAAAAATACTATTATTATGTCTATTAAAAATATGAATTTCATTATGTAAGGTATTGATTATAGAAAAAGGAAGAAGTAGAGCCAAAAGAAAAATGCCCGCTGCTACCATAGTAGCATCATGTATAAGAGCCGAAATAGGAGTAGGGCTTTTCCATGGCATCAGGTAACCACACCCCCGATTTAGCAACTGCACTATTGTTCATTTGTTGCCCAAACAAGTAAATTTACTATAACTTCTATATGCGTCCTTCATATTAAATTTGAGCGTTACCTTCTATTAGTTTCTCACAATAATAATACTAGATAAATAGTATCATGGTGTATGCAACTCACAACTCGAGTTTAATTGGGGGAAATATCAGGTGCTTAAGGGGAGACTTCTTTCTAAATGTATTTTGAAAAGTATTTTTAAATCTTTATATTTATAAATGATTTAACAATGTCATTGTTGGTGCCCGAAGCATAAATTGCGATATCTTGCAAAGCCACAAAAATATAATAAATTTAAATTTTACTCATAAAACAGTCGATCATCTTTTTGTTTTCCAAATATAAATGAACTTGTAAATTCATTTTTGTAATTGAACTAAATGAATTATATATATATATATATATCTCGTTAAATGTTGCCAATCTGTAGAAGAAAATCATTAATATAATATGACATTTATTGGGAATATCATATCATAACTAAAAAATCTCATTATTCAACACATATAGTAATATAAGGTAATATGGATGTTTTTCCTTGCATGGAAAATGAGGGTCAGAGTTGCTTCAGTTTGACTTCTTTGTGAGAAACCTTTAACATAGTAAATAAAAAAAAAGGTGGCATGATTTTTCTCTCAAAACTTATTTGTTGTAATTACCAATAACAACTTATCAATGGTCTAGCAATTACATCAATTAATTTACCACGAATTCTTATTTAATCTAATGTTGCCAACTAGTTAGCGTAATAAGATGTTATTAATAGGAGAAGATATCATAACCTACGAATCTCTACTCTATCACTTGAAGTAATGTCGATGAAGACAAGCCAAAGGGTGGATTAACTTTGGACAGCATGTACATTAACTCTGCACAGATAAACTCTCTATATAAAGTCTCTGTCTCATCTTAACCTATACAAATAACAATAATAGGAAAGTAGAATCATTTCTGTTGCTTCTCCCTTTTTGCTAGAGTTCCTTTAGTCCATTTATGGGGAAAAAACCTAGTTTGGGTCGCCAGAAAATCGCGATCGCCAGAATCCCTAAGAAAAATTATCTCCAGGTGACTTTCTCGAAACGAAGATCGGGGCTGTTCAAGAAAGCGAGCGAACTTTGCACTCTTTGCGGGGTTGAGATCGGGATCATAGTATTTTCTCCGGCTAGTAAAGTTTTCTCTTTTGGCCATCCTGAAGTTGAACTAATCATCGACCGATTTCTCGCCCGCCACCATCCGCCTCCTCCTGATACCAGCGCTCATCACCAACTCTTTGAAGCTCATCGAAACGCGAACTTTCGGGAGCTCAACATGATATTGACTCAAGTCCTTGATGAACTAGAAGCTGAAAGAAAGCGAGGGGAAGAGCTCGACGTGATGCGAAAAGAGAGCCGAAGGCAGCGTTGGTGGGAGGCTCCCATTGATGAGCTTGGCTTGTGTGAGCTTGAGCAATTGAGAATGTCAATGGAGGAGATGAAGAAGAATGTGATGAAGTTGACCAGCAAGTTGATGGCAGATTCTTCTCTTCCAAATGGTTTGCCATTTTCAGGGGTTAATAATGGATTAGGGCTTTGTGACCCTTTTGAGGACAAGGTCCTTCAAGCGAACGGTGCTTCCACTTTTTCTCAGATCTTCAATTTTCATCATGAAAGTGGACTTTTTTGATTATTTTCCTGATATTTCTTTTTTGTTTAATCCGAAGGAATGAAGTCTAGTATCTCACTAGCAAAGGCTATCCACTTTTTTGTCTCCTTGCTCAATTTTTAGCGCTTGAATTCGCAGATGTATATAAATAATACAAGAGAAAAATTTACCATGTGATTGCAAGAACATCCAGTGATGGGATCTGTAATGTTTATAATAGTGCTTTTATCAGTTCTTGAACTGGTTTTGTACAATCTGATACGTGCGAAGACAACTTTGCTTATCAATATAGTACTGGTTAATGGTATTTTCCGAATATTTACAAGGAACAATTAAGTCCATAATATGGTCACAAGTTCTCATCTCAATTTCTCTAAAAGAGCAGCAAGTATAACACAACAAAAAATTCTTTTGTAAGAGAGACCTAGTACCTGCCTTATTGAGTATATGCCTATTTAATTTCTTGAGAGCAAGTGGTCAAGAATTCGCAGGATATACCGTCATGAGATCATCGTAAGCATAATGATAGTTCAATAAATCAAAAGCCATCTGTTTTTTTAAGTACATGTTTCGATGGCTAGTTACTTCTCATTGTCTATATGATTGTGCATTTCAAACATGAGCAAGAGCAAGAATGTTGAGAAGTACGTCCAATCTCTCCAGCAATCAGTCCAACCAAAACCCGACCAATCCATTATCGCCGCCAAGGTCATTCTTTTCTCTCCATCTCATACAAAAAACGGCAAACTGCGAAATGGGTATAGAGCAATCGGTCCTGATAATCTGTAGAAATTACAAATGAGAGAGCCCTTCGGTTTTCTCCTTTTAATATTCATGTTGAGAACATCAAGTGTTTAGTGTTTTGGATGAAATGGAATAATAACGGTGGAGGATTGGCAAGATTTGCTGTTTCTTTTGTTTTCCCCTGTTCAAAGAAGCCCATGTGGGGAGCAGAAGACGAAGGAGGAAGAGAAGGCCAGAGAGCAGGAGCTAAATGATTCTATTCAAGATTGCTGTCCTTCAGCCAAAAGTGCCAGTTGGAATGCAATTTGTTCTTGTATTGTGAGTCGTGCTTCTAGCCTCTTTAGAGCAATACTACTTGTTGACTTGTGCACGAATTGTACTTGTCTGTAGATTTTACTCTCTTTAATATAGTTTGGTGTGTTAGTATGCCTTTGTTTAGCTGTCTTGCCTCCTACATTCGAGCTATCCTACAGTCTGATTATAATGATCAATTCGGATTTAAGAAACAATAGAGGATTGGATCAAGAGACATTGGAGAAGGTTGTGGAGTCAAAAGAAGAAAGAACATAATTAGAAAAAGCCCACTGAGACTCTGTGCTCTCTCTCTCTTTTCCTCATCCATGCACACAGTAACCAACGTCCGCATGCAGACGCCTTATAGGTTTTTCAACTGCTCGGTATTGCTTGGGTCAGGTCGAACTTTCTTTCACTGTTGCCATATGCCATGTAAAATACCTGAATATTGTAATTTATGCTCAGATATCTAAGATTGTCTGTTCTGGTAGTTTTAGTACAACATTGATGATCTGGTCTACAAAAAATGCACAGAGGACTAGCCCCATCACTTTCAAAATTCGTTGCTACTTACATGTTAATTACTTTAGCGTTCGAAATCGACTGCTTCAGCTCCAATGACTCCCGAGTTGTTCATGCAATAGAAGAAAAAGACGGAAAAAAGCGAAGCCGGTTTGGCTGCTCAAACGAGCAGAAAGGGCCGAGAATGACTGCATGAGGTGTTATTCTTAGTACTTTTCCTGCTGAACTTGGAGAAGCCTGTTTGGAGGATATGATGCTAATGTGGTCTGCCGTCACTTCAGCGGGCGCGAGTTGTTTCCATCAGATGCTGCCTTAACTGTGGATGACGCTGAGGCATATGATAAGTACCATAGATAGGAAGAACCCGAAGATGCCAAAGACATGTAAACCCCCTTCTTCACCTTTTCTTTTCGGCATTACACATTATTTTAGGCTCCCAGCAACTAGGAATCCAAAGATTGGTTATAGCTTTGGAGTATTTCCGGTAAATTGCAGGTTGTACTCGGCTAGGCGGCATCAGTATCAAAATCTTCTCTCACTCGAATTTGTGAAACTTTTGACTGTTTAACTCGAATGATCCTATGACAAAATATGGTTCGTGAAGCGGTAAATCATCACCTTTTGGTTCCCTTTGAAGGGGGCGATGCTTGACGGGTGGAGGCCAGCTCAAAACTAACCATGCTTGCGCTTGTTAATCTTTTTAATTTTATGGTTCTGTTGTATCTTTGCTTCTTACCATTGCATTTGTTGAATTGCAGGATAGAGACAAATCAGCAGAAGAGGAACCTTTCACATCAAGAAGAGCGGTGGCTGAATCTGAAGAGGTCGCCATGCTCGACGATGATGACGACGCCGAGGAGCTAGAACGTCAATTCGAATTCGTGAGCTGGGAAGTGAAACTTCATCCGGAAAGATGGATTGGGAGAGAGGTTGCTCCGGAAGCTTGCCCAAGATTACTTGAGAGGAGTATAAACTTCCCGGTTAAATTTGACCTTTGGAAGCACAGGCAAGTTTGCTGGATCTGCATGAACTTGACTTTGGAAGTAATGGCAAAATTAGAGCACAAGTCTCCATTTTTTTTCAGGAAAATGAGAGAAAATATTTGAAAACGTACTTATTTTCAAGAAAAACGATTTTCATTATCCTGAATTAAAATATAGATTTTCGGTTAACTATGAAAATGTTTTTTATTGACTCAAACGATCCAAATGCTGAAATAAGATGAAAATGTTTTCGGCGGTTAAAATTTTTGCAAAACAAATGGAACCTGATCTTGATTATGTTTTCGGCTGTCATCGAGTTCACATTGTTTTAGTAGACATCAGGATTGAAAAGCGTTGCATCCTCCATTACTTATCAACCATAATGAGAAAATCAAATAACCGATGAACCAATGTGAAGTTGCCTGTGGTTGAATTACTAGCCTTGGGATGATTTTTCTATTTCTCGATGACAACAAAAGAAGAAGGGTTAATATAATAAAAAACTCCAAACTGATATTCCTGTGATAATTTTACCCCGGATTAATTTTTTGACCACCAAAAATCCCAAACTGGTACACCTGTGATAAATTTACTCCGAACTATTTTTTTGATCACCAAAACCCCACACTGGTACACTTGTGATAATTTTACCCTGAACTAATTTTTTGACTACCAAAAACCCCAAACTAGTATACATGTGACAATTTTACCCAAAACTAATTTTTTGACTACTAAAAACCCTAAACTGGTACATTTATGAAAAATTTACCCTCCGTTAGTGTCCGTTAAATTAGATTAATATCATGAAAAATTACAAATTGGTAAACTTGTGACAAACAGAGGGGTAAAACCCCAAACTAATACACACGTCAACTACCACGTGCCATCAAACTTAGCAATTCAATAATAAAATTTAACGGAAACTAGCGGAAGGTAAATTTGTCACAAGTGTATCAGTTTTGGGTTTTTTGTGGTCAAAAAATTAGTTCGGGGTAAAATTGTCATAGGTGTACCAGTGTGAGGTTTTTGATGGTCAAAAAAATAGTTCGGGGTAAAATTATCACAGGTGTACCAGTTTAGGGTTTTTTGTGATAAAAAAAATAATTAAGGGTAAATTTGTCACGGGTATACTAGTTTGAGGTTTTTCGTGATATTAACCCAAAGAAGAAAAAAGGATAGGTAGCTTTATCCTATTATTTCAAGGGTTAATACCATGAAAATTCCCAAATCGATGCATCTGTGACAAATTTACTCTTCGTTAGTTTTGGTTAAATTTTATCGTCAAATTACCGAGTTGGATGATACGCGGCAGTTGACGGGTGTACTAGTTTGGAGTTTTACTCTCCGTTTGTCACAGGTATACCAGTTTGTGTTTTTTCGTGATAAAATTGAAAAATTTAGAACTGAATTGACATATTAATAGGTTTAACACTGATTGAGTAATTATCCCTTTAATATCAGATTAGTTTTTGGAGTCTCTTGTTTCAATATACACGATCATCAATTTTCAAGATCTCAAGTTAATGCCTTCCGACATATGCGAGATGATAATCCTAACGCGGAAAAATCGCAGCTTATGCCCCTTTTGGTGATCTTAACTTGATTCTTGGTCCAACTTTCCCGAATTCCAAAGACAAAATCGCGCAGATTTGCCACTGTCTATTTACCTTAATCTAGCCTTGATTGTGACTGTGGCGTGAAACATGTGCTTAGGGAACAAAGGAGTCCTAACAGCATGATTGATTTATAGGTCGAGGATTACGGCAATTGACAATTGATGGGCAACGAATATTTCAAAGTCATTTTGGAAGTTTATGTGGACATCAAATTGCACGGCTCCATTTATAGCCGGAGCCACCTACAACTTATTATCATTCTCACTTGAGTGTCATAATTTTCGTATAAATTTATTTCAGTGTCATAATTTTTTCAATTGATCACTTGGGTATCATAACATTTAAAAATGTTCACTATAGGTGCTTGAAATCTGATATGGCATGACATTCATGGTGAACATTTATTTAAAAGTTAAGATATTCAAGTGAATATTTCTTAAAAGTTATGGTGTTCAAATGAACATTTCTTAAAAGTCATGGCACTTAAGTGAGTGTTGCACAAATATCTTATTTTTCATCTCATGGGACAAAAATTCCAAAATCTTCATACACGTCAAAGCGGAAGTAGGTTGTGGTCCAAAAACAAATTAAAACAAAAGTAGAACGGCAAGGGGCATTTAAATTAGATATATCAAGTCAAGTATTTAACCATTGCAGCAATAAAGGGAAGAGGGACAATTACACAAATGGTCCATTAACTTTGCCCCAATGTGTAATGCAGTCCATGAATTTTTAATTTATTCAATGTGGTCCCTAAACTTTTAGTAAATGTTCAATCTAGTCCATGAGTTATTATATCCCCGGATTCAATCTAGTCCTTGGATTATCCAGTTCGGGGACTTAATTGAACATGTACCAAAACTTCAGGGACCACATTGAA